ATCCCTAATGGGTGTACTAGGTAACCATATATGTACACTTCCACTGCAAGGATTTTATCATTATTTATTCCAGGAAAATCTGTTTTACTTAGTATTCATACATACATTTTTAGATGCTGATTCACAAAATTAATCACAGTACCTAAGATAAAAATAATTAGAACAAAAATTGAATGTAACTGGACTAACCATTTATACATAGTATCTAAAATAATATGTAATTGTTACAGGTCAACAAGCCCCTAGAGATGTACTACTCATGGAAGAAAACCTAGAAGTGAATAGCATTTTAGTTGTGTGACACATAGCTAAAATGTTATCGGAAGTGATATATTTTGAAACATATTTTAGGTATTAATTATGGCGCAATCTGAATCACATTTTCTAATTTAATAAATACTACAACTTGTATATTATATTTTTTGTTAGAAAATGTGTTTTCTGTCAGCCATGAAGTATTTTAAAATAATGAAATGAGATAAATGGACTCTTTTTAATGTATGTATAGTAGCATGTGATAATATGCAATGGAATTATTTGAATTGTCAAATGTATTTATGACGAATGGATTGGTAATGTAAAGATGTTAGTTTTTAACTATATCATATAATGGTTCTTGTAATTAAAATGCATTTAGATTTTAATTACCTGTTTTAATAATTAATGGCGTATTTCGGGGCTTACTTTTTCTCAGTCTTTAAGTATGTAGGTACCTACTGGTTTTTATTTTCCTTGTTTCTGGTAGAGGACAATTACTAATGTCTGTTTATTCTATCTCCCCAGAACGAAAGTACCTACAAATTGACAAAATACAAATGAAAATGAATTGTTTTAAATGAGCATCTTTTTTTCTTCTAAATTCAATATTAATATCATTAATTTTCTGGACAAGACAAAACACCAAATCGCGCGCGATGACATGTGTGACGTCACTAAAATTACGCATAAAAATATTTTGACAAAGGGATATTATTTCCCACTTTCTTAGTAATCTTAATAATAAGTTTCATGTCATCTTCTATGCATGCATGATGTGAAATGCAATACTTAACTGTCATTTAACAGGATTATCAGGTAATGTAATTAAATGCATAAAAAACAACAGGTTTTAGGAATGGTAAAATAAAATCCTCATAAAACACGTGTAATAATTTAATTCTCACTTTAAAAGTAGGTACAGTATGTGATGCGTGTTTATTACATTAGCTAGATAGCGGGATGTAGCACAGTATAATAAATAATATAGGGTCTTAAGTAGCACGTAACTTATCACAAATAAGTTTTAATTAACTCGTTTTTATATTAAAGGAATTACCGCGCTTTTAATATGCACCGCTTATCTTGCGGCAAAAATATCAATAAATCAAGCAAGATATTGCAACACCAATTTTTTATTTGGCGCCAAGTTTAAAATGCATAAAAACTAAGGCACATTTTAGTACCCAAAACAGAACCTATTTCGGAATAAACTTTCTTCTAAATGCGTTATACTCTCTTCTAAGTGCTTTAGTTGCCTCTATTTTCAATGTACTCAGTATTTCAACGATTTCCTCCTGATTTTCTGAATCTCTTGCGATAGTCAACTTTTCCATTGTGGCGAAATCCAACTCTTCTATTCGTTCAGCTTCATCGATCAAACGGTCAACATCATTAAGATAACTGCGATAGGATATATTTTCCGTGCTACCTCTGTAATTGATAAGTCTTTCGGCGTGCTCCCAGAAATCCAAGACTCTCCGACCGTCCTTCATTTTAGACGTAAACATAAAGTTTCGAAATAGCTTTCTTCCTTTCTCGTCGTTGAGGACATTCTCAATTTTGTCCGTAAAACGGTCTAAATCTGATTTTGTTATACCTTCGAAGTCATCACAGCCACAAGCCACAAAACAATTTTCCATTTTATATTGTCACAACACCTTAACAACCAGTTCCATGTTTCTTATTGATTTTGGTAATTACTGTATTATAATAAATTTCACATTTTGCCAATAATCTTATCTTCACTGCGTTCTTATCACTTATGTTGCGATTAATTAAGCCCCACAACTGTTTAATGATGATGATTCACCTTTGACTAAGGTAAAGATGTTAGGTTAACTTCAAAAATAGGAATACATCACTAGCGGGACGTGCGAGCGTAAATAAACTCTTCGCAGTCGTGTGCAGAGACATACGTTTACGAAGTTCACGGTTCAACGATAGTCTTGTACGCATGCTCGGTTTTCTTCACATTCAAATCACCCGCGAAATGTTTAAATCGGTCAACATTAACATTTATTTTTCTTACACATTTCTTTCGACTACAAAAGCCCACGACCACGAGTCATAATAACCAAACAGGTGAGATGTGACTGGAATAACTGCGAGGGGCGAGGGCATTACATCACGCAAAGGTAAAAAATCGTGACCTCGGTAAGCGGTAGACGCAATTCGTTCATGGGAATATCGAGGTGGAGCGAAACAATGGCCTTACTTTACTTACATTATAAAGCTCGAGTCTTAGAACCGGTACCTACTACTACACTACATACTTAAATACAGTTGTCGAATTAAGGTCACTTGCTGCTACATTTTAAATATGAATTCATAGGCGGGTACATGAGTGAGACGCAATAAATAGGTTTGCTATCCAGTTCGATTCCCCGTTGAGACAATTCAGTTGTTTCATTTATGAGCAGATATTTATTTTCCTCCTTACATTTAATTGATAGCCATAGTACATACTTAATAGGGTAGGTAAGTTAATTCCAGGTGGGATAAGAATATTTTATTTTTAACGATAATATTATTGTTTGTAAGTAACTAAGGCAAACTTAACTCTAAACAAAATAAAAATACAGGGTGTTTGGCGCATCGTGTGCCAAAATGATTTGGCGGATAGAATGGGTCATTTCCTATATTTTCAGCTCCCATAACACGTTCCATGCCAGCAGAGGCGGGGCAAGACCTAAATTTGATGTGGGCAAGATAGATTTCGCGAGGCCTTGTTCTGTGGCGACCTGAAGACGGATTTTATGAAATAATAAAAAAAAGGGTCAAAGGTCTATACATTGACAGTTTCTGATTTCTTGATTCAGTGATTATTTTTAAAGGAATATTGCGCCAAAGAATAATGTTCGTCACTTAAAACCGTGTTGTTGCTTAATTTTGTGTCTGATTATGGCTGAATTTGTTTGGAAAAAAATATATTTTTATTTTTAACTACATTGTTTAGCTATCAAGAATTTATATTTAATAGTCAATGTTCGTATTGTTATATTGTCATCTCCACCTTGTATACATTTTTTCAAAATTTTTGATGCGCGAGGCCCCTTGTACCGCGAGGCCGTAGGCGGTGGCCCACGTCGCCTACGCCTTACGCCGCCTCTGCATGCCAGGCGGCTACTTTTAAATTATTATTTTTAGTAATTTCACCAAAATACCCAAATCGCATCATTTAATGTCGATTTAAAAAAAAACTACTAGGCGTAGCCTCAATATAAAAAAAATTGTTTTGACGTGCGTTGATGTAGGGTTGCATCAAATCTAAATTTACTATCAAGTATCGTCTAGTTCTTTTTAAATTCAGCTTAAAGTTAAATACGGTGCCGAGGCGGTCATTTTGAACAAAATTTGTAATAATTAATAAACGATCAAAATAATTATTTTCGTCTTTAATTTCAAGAAATCCACATTGAAAAACGATAGGGAAAAGGTTTTTACATTGCATAAGATTAATAATTTTTACTTGTTAGGTGTTTAACGTGCTATTCACACAAAAAGGGGCTTTACACACAAATTTCGCAAATCAGTCCGAGTAGAGTCAATTCACTAATTTAAGGAATTTGTGAAGTTGTTGTTATTATTTAAACAAGATTAGTATACCGTTTGAATGGGGATATACTAGAGAAGTTTTGATAAAATCCGAAGATCGCTATCTCTTTTTAAAAAAATTTATAGCCATGTAAACTTAAATGTTCAGCCCATTTTTAACTTTTCGGAAAACTTCAAAGCTGTATTTAAAAAAAACTAGACGATATTTGATAGTAAATTTAGATTTGATGCAACCCTACATCAACGCACATCAAAACAAAATATTTACTTTGAGGCTACGCCTAGTAGTTTTTTTTTAAATCGACATTAAATGATGCGATTTGGGTATTTTGGTGAAATTACTAAAAATAATAATTTAAAAGTAGCCGCCTGGCATGGAACGTGTTATGGGGGCTGAAAATATAGGTAATGACCCATTCTATCCGCCAAATCATTTTGGCACACGATGCGCCAAACACCCTGTATAAACTTATTTTACTCAAAAATGAAAGTGTGTCCGTGAGGCAAAGAGGCGAGGATGCTGGCTGCATTTCCTCGCTGAATGGCAATACTATTTTGTGCAAGGAAAGAGCCAGCATTTAGATTTTCCGAAATTTTAATTAATTTAGGGGAAATGGTCCGAAACAATAATTTAGCATTCGGTCCCCAAGGTCCGAAGGTCTCACCAAAAGGCGCAATTATATTACTTACTTAAATAAATAATGTTCATTTAAGAACATTTTGATGAAACTACAGTATTATTGCTTAAACAAGCAGAATAACATTTGTTACATATTTTATATTTTATTAACATAACGATCTCGATCGATTTTAATTTCAAGCGGGAAAAGCCGCGGGTAAAAGCTAAAAAGTTGCTTCTGCACGGCGCACGCAGTTCCATGTATTTTATTTCACTCGGAAATGATTTCGATGTAATTATGTACTATTGTACTAACTTGAGAACGAGTTAATTTCTATGTTTGACAAATTATGTAGTTTAAGATTTAAAATATAGGTATAATTTATACTACAATACATTACTATACATTGGATGAAAGTCTGAAATAAATTATTTATTAATATAATTCAAAACTTTTAAAGAGTCATAAAGTATCATAAGCCCTCTCCCTAGTTCTAAATAACGGTATATATCGGAGGTATTTATTCATAGACAAAAAATAACGCTATTACATTTTTTTACTGGGCAACATTTACTCAGAACTGACAACATACTGCAACGCTGACGTTTTAGTCGGCCATTTTGCAGTTTTTACGGCAACTGCTACACGTGTTCTGTAGGTTCCATGCCCGAATTTATATCAAAAACCATTACAATTACTGTGTAAACGTTACTACATATCGATTCCTTCAACTTCCAGGGTGCCGAGATGGCAGTTACTAAGAAACCCGTGGCTAAAAAAGCCCAATTACACCAGAAGACAGGCAAGAAGGGAGTCAAGGGTGGTAAAATCCGCGGCAAGGGAATCAAGAGGAAAATCGCTCTAAAGTTTGTGATTGATTGCACACACCCGGCTGAGGACAGCATCCTCGATGTAGGCAACTTCGAGAAATACTTGAAAGAGCACGTCAAAGTCGAAGGAAAAACAAATAACCTCGGCAATCACGTTGTCATCGCCCGGGACAAGACGAAAGTCGCTATCAATGCAGGTAAAAAGCTTCCTTCTGATTAGCATCAATGTTGATAAGCATGATCGAACCCATCATTCTTCCAGAACTGTGATTTAGTACCAATTTTATCAACCTTACTGATCTGGCTAACAGTGAGGTTATTTTAAATTTTTTTCCTAAATTCTGAACATCTTGACTGGTGCATGGTTTCCATCAGAATTATTATCGTTCTCAAAACATGGAATGCTCATTTTATGAAGATGTGGCCAATTCTAATTTGACTTCCCACAATATCAGGTTAGCATCTATTATGCAGCAATGTTTAGGCTGGATCTATAACATTTATTTCCCAAATGTACCATTTGGGTGCTAGATGAAGGGCCATGTTATGTTCAATAGATGTAAACAATGTTTATTTTCACCCGATTGTTGTAATTGTGTATGGTTAATACATCTTGGTGTATTATTGTGGCATATAACCTAATGTTTTATCTTTAGAAACAAGAATTCAATATCGTTTTGTCTTTTTTATGGTAGGCCTACAAATTGAACTTTTTTTTACATTGTAATCAATAGTATCCGATAGAGGAAGTTATTGGCTTTTCACCTTTTACTAGTAGTAGGTCTGTAGTGTCCTAATTAATGACTACTCACTATGGGATTATGCCTAGTGGATATAATCCCATGGTTAGCAACAAGTATAGGTTGTAAGTTCCATTTATTACTACTTAACCACAAAGGTGAATAAAAAAGAGTAGCAAGAACTTAATTTTCAATACTGATAGAGTATTTTTCTTCATTTCCAGACATTCCCTTCTCAAAGAGGTACCTCAAATACCTGACCAAGCGTTACTTGAAGAAGAACAACCTCCGTGACTGGCTGCGAGTAGTTGCGTCTGCGCACGACTCGTACGAACTCCGCTACTTCAACATCAACGCTGACAGCGACAATGAAGATAACGAAGATTAAGCTGTTCATAATATAATAGTTTTACACTATTTTGTCTTTTATTTGATATTTTTTAGATTTAGAGATGTTAGTATGTTTGTTTAACAGTCTTTTGTTGATCTTGTAACTGTATGCAGTACATTTTATCATTCCAAATAATAATTTATCAATTTCTTGACATCAAGTGAGTCGTGTGAAATGAGTTTTCATACAAGTATGGCTTTCGAAGGAAACATGAACTGAAAAATCAAACTAAGAAGTAGCTTATTGCTGGAAAACAGATTGCCATGAAGCAGAAACATTAAATTTATCAACTCATCATAAATGATGACTCCCAACTAGTAATCATTTTTACACAACATTGTTAAATTTTATTTTGCCCATGTAATTTAGCTTGTCACAGATCGTTATAAATTATAGGCTATTATGTTTTTGATGTTTAAACAATACTATAAAGTTTGTTTAATCATTATCCATTCAGCAGTTTTTGCGTGACATCCATATTACATCCACACAAACTTTCATCATCATCAGCCATAGGACGTCCACTGCTGAACATAGGCCTCCCTCAATGCTTTCCATGTTGATCGATTGGTAGCGGCCTGCGTCCAGCGCTTCCCTGCTACCTTTACAATATCATCGGTCCGCCTTGTAGGTGGACGTCTCACGCTGCGTTTTCCGGTACGACCGGTACTCGGCCTCCATTCCAGAACCTTGCTGCCCCATCGGCCGTCAGTTCTGCGTACTATGTGCTGGCTATGTCAGCGACTTCGAGTGGCGACCCTGAAGTAGTGTATGGCTTCCACATGGTGGACTCGCTATCTGTTGGACGCGGGCAGTGCAGGTCTGGTCGACGTAGAAATCTTTAGGAAAGGCCCATTGGTGTAGGTATCTAGTTTTTAGGGGGGCCTGACCCCTGACATGCATTGTCACGGGGCACAGTGATCAATAATCAGAATTTAGGATGACAAAAATATTTTAATCTGAAATTACAATTATCTAATAATGTTATTGAAAATATCATTAAGTAAATAAATATTTCTTTATTAAAATAATGTATTTGAGACTACAATCTTAAAAAACCGGCCAAGTGCGAGTCGGACTCGCGCACCGAGGGTTCCGTACAAACCTGTAGGTATATATGTTACGGCTAAAGATAGTTGTGAACATAAACTTAAGATTAGCCGGCTAAACTTAAGTTTATCTTCGAGAAGCAGCTAAAGTTCGATAACATGTTAGTTTGCGTCGTTATATTCCATCTTTAGCCGGCTAATGTGCACATTAGCCAAAACGAAACGGCTAAAAATGTATTCGATCGGCGCGCCAGGCCGGCGGAGGGCTTGAGGGGATGGTGGGGAGACAACGCGTGCGCAGTTTTATTTTGTAATTTTAAATACCTACAGAAGATTCTGTAATGACCAAATGGTTTACCTTATTATTTTATTTTAATGATTAGGTAGATATTGTTCTAAGTAATTAATATTTTGTTATTGTAATAATTGTAATTTTGAATACCTACATAAAAGTATGTGTAATGAAAGTGATTATTTTTTAATAAAGTTTTCGTGAATTTCGTGTCAAAATAGTAAACATTATTACATTGTTTCCTTTTCCATTTCCTTCTACATTTTTAGCCAAGGGCCTGCGGTTACACTTAAGTTTAGCCGGCTAAAGATAGAAGAAACTAACATTAACACCTCGTCGAAGATAAACTTAAGTTTAGCCGGCTAATCTTAAGTTTATGTTCACACCTATCTTTAGCCGTAACATATATATAACTTTGATTTTGTTACAGCTTAAAGGTACTATGGACCTGATTATTTAATATGAATTTCAATTAAATACCTCTACGCGTTCATGAGGAAAGTAGTAGACTTTAAAATTCTCATTTTATCACTTTGGAAGAATCTCTCGCGCAAACTATTCAGTTTAGAAAAAAATGATATTAGAAACCTCAATATCATTTTTGAAGACCTAAGTATCCAGAGATACCCCACACGTATGGGTTTGATGAAAAAAATATTTTTGAGTTTCAGTTCTAAGTAATGATGCCCTTAGTTCAATAAAAGAATCAATTAAAGACTAGTTAATTTCGATTGGGTAAAAAGTGCTAGTGCCTATTTTGTCGAATACGAAATATCATTCTGTAGACTGCCTCGTGACTTAACAGTAAATTCAGGAGATGATGATGAAATATGAAGTGCTGAGGCAGCCCTACGTTTTCCGACTGAATGAACTTTCATCTTGGCTGCTAAGCACAATAACTATTCTTCACTTCTGGATGATACTTCGTCTTTTAATCTACTACGCTTAGTTCTGTCACCTAAATCGATGAAAGCCTTTTTCGGGCGTCCTCTACCTACAGACCCTGAAGTTGATGGCTGTTCAATAATGATCTTCAGATGTTATTATGCATTTACACAACTAATTCTCATATTTTTTTTCAAATTAAGAGATATCTTTGCCGATTTTAATCAATTTCTGGAAGCTGACAAACAAAAGCTATTTTTTGAATTTCGTAACTCATTTCGCTCTTGTGTTATCAAATCTGATACTCTAACGACCTCATAGACATAGTTTAATAATATATAGACTAAGAGCTACTGAACGCCAGANAAGGCTTATGAGTTGGATGACAATTCCTTAACCAGTATATATAAGTATAGTTTCTAAAGTTATTTGGTTGTTTGCATCAGCTAGTCATCATCCCATGTTGATGGAAGGTACAACTTCTTAACGCTTAGGAGTTGTAGGATAATTCACGTCATGCTCCCCGGCGGAACTACTTTTGATTTAACTAGTTTAGTGTGTTTCTAAAATAAATCTTTGAAATGTCTATAAAATTCTAGTCCTATTTAAAAAAAAAATATGTCACAGGTTTCGCCGTATTTTGTTACTGAAAGTGGTTGCGCTGCAGAGTATCCTTCCAGCGAAACCATCACGATATATCTATTACTATGCATAGTATAATCAAATTTATAGTATCAAATAATACTATAACAATTCTATATTGAATTAGGGCCCCCAAATCCTCACTAGAATTTATATACGCGGAAAATGTGGTGCCACAAATTTTATCTTCAAAATAGTTGCTAAACGCCTAGAGTAAAGTTCTTAGCAACATTAGCATTAACATAGGTAATGACAATGTTGCTAAGAACTTTAATCTAGGCAACTTTCAGAGGTAATCACTTTAAAATTAGGGATTACCTAAGCCTTCCGGAGTTGTACTTACCTTCCATCATCAGCTCATCAACATGAGATGATGATTTACAGACTCAAATACTTGAGTAACATAAGAAAAAGTACAAAAAACAATAATTATAGTGCCTCGCGTTTGCACTTTCAGCCACCCTAAAAGCTGTCTGGCAAGGCGAAGGAACCATCAGAAGTGTCTGGCTGATGAGGAAACTTCATCAAATGATAGTTCAAATATTTTATGTAAATATCAGCTTTTATAGTATGACGTAAGTAGGACTACATTTTCATGAACTTTAAGGTGTCTGGCTAAGGACTGCCACCATGGTAGGTGTCTGTCAATTAATGACGTCATTTCTAATAACATTTTGAAGGAAATATCGAAAAATCAGCCTTTATACTTTGACGTAATTAAGTTGGTATTTTACACACCTTTAGTACCGTCTGTCTGCCAAAGCCACCATGACCCAAACTTCATGTTTGGCCATGGTTCTTAGCTATGTTGGGAGCATGCGCTGACAAACTTTCAGCCTTTATAAAATAACGTAGGTCTGGCGTTCACTAGCTCTTAGTCTAATATCTTTAGATTGCTTAGTTGCAGGTTTAATTGGAGGAAGTTTTTTGAGGTTTTTAAATAAATCTGAATTTCTAACTGTACTTTCGTTTCCTGCAAAAATGAAAAGTTTGTTCAGGCAGGGGTAGTTTGGGGTAAAATTTTTTATTGAATACCATAACACAGACTTCCAGCTATCTACCAGTACCAAAATTTCCATGTTCTAATATGTTCCTTGTAAGATACAGGCTTTAAAATAAAATAAAATACCTAAAATTTTAAGCTAAGTTTTGAATATTTTTTCCAAATTACTATAACAATTAACAGTTACTAAGTGTTATAGAAAATGAAGTATATACCTTCATTAATGTGCACCATATTTCATAATACGCAATAATGCACTGTATAAGTCAAACCAAACAGATAACTGTGCGCGAAAACAGGAAGTAAATATAACAAATCAGTACAAATTAGCGAGAGCACTGCATTTACAAGCTGGTATCTCAGTAATGACTTACCTTTAAACGTTCATATTCAACAAGAATATGAGGTAAGTACCCCCAATCACATCGCGATGATTTGTTTTAACTACCCTCACAATGTCAAATTTGAATATTATCCACCTAATATCTCATTATTGATCACCGTGCGGGGGGTAGATGGGGGCGCGATTAGTTTCATAGCTCATGAGTACTATCATCTTCGAATAGGTAGCCCAACCAGACCATTCTGGGGGGAGGGGGCACCTCCCGGTATATACGCCCATAGAAAGGCTCCCTTGTCCTGGAGTACCAATTTGGAAACCTAACTTCTAAGAAGAATTAGTTGGCTGGCTAATACCATGGAATTTGAACTACGTTATGTAGACTACCGATACTATCAAGAATATCTATGCCAGCTGGTAAAGTGCCAGTATACTATATGCGCAACTTGGACACAGCATGAACTTATGTAACAGCAGTCTAAACTTGATGGATTTATGAAATTTTCATTAGTTCAAGATATTTTTAACTCGTCTTTTGTGGGATATTTATTTAATTAATAAAAACCATGCATGTAATGTATAAGTATTTATTTTCAGTAAGGTAAATATTATTTACATAAATAAAATAAAACAATTCGAAACAAATTGATGATTTTAATACATTGAAAAGGAAAAAAAGTTGAACTTATTTCTAATTCATCTACATAAGTATCGTTTGTACTAAGACTAACGTATAAAGATTCACTGCCATAGAGAATAATCAAATGCTCTATTATTGTAGTTGCACTAATGGTAACTCGCTTCGCTCGGCCGCTTGCCCCATTATAGGCACTTGTCTACCTTAAACAGAGTCTACTTATATTAATTTAGAAGGTATTGAGTTATGGCTCATGTAATTACGCTATGAGATATTCTAATGACCAATGCGAGTTTACTTTCCGGCGGCGATTTCCTTCATTCTGTTGAGGGCTGATCCGGCGCGGAACCACGTGATCTGCTGTTCGTTCAATGAGTGGTTGAGCTTGATGCGCTCTGTCTTGCCGTCTTTGTGCTTGATCTCGCAGTCGACTTGCTGTAAACGAAAAATAGTCATTAGTATGCACCTTATACACAAGGGCATAAGTGCTTTTTTTGCTTGGCTAGACTGTTAAGGGTGGATTCGACCAAACAAGAGTAAATATTAATCTCAGAATAAATCGGCAGTTTTGACATATTTCCCATACTGAAACTGTCAACGTGTCAGTTAGTTATACCAGGAGTTATTCTCGGACAAAAGTTTGGTCGAATCGGGCCTTAGACTGTAAGCGTCGCCAAACACGGGCTCGACACAGCCAAAAACGCCGCCACAAGAAGCTAGAAGTGGCTGCAAAATGTAACTGAAGCGCGCGACAGCAGGTTCACTGAGGTAAGAGAGAAAGACCATTGGTCTTTCCATTTCTTTATTTCAATCACTATGATAATAAAGATAATCTTTCGTTACACAGTTGTATAACAATACTCGATATTCTACTCTGCTTTGTGTCTGCATCTCATCCAGAGTAAATACAAATGAGTAGGTCATCTTCATAGAAACGCACCGAGCGCGGTTTGTATGTGAGCGCGCCAATACGTATGCGGCGCGCATGCACACACTGACAAAATTTGGCGCAACACCCCGCTAATCCACGCTAAATCATTTGTATTTACTCTGTCTCATCTAAACTGTATCCTAATACCATGCCTTTAAAGTATACTTTACCTTGCCAGGCGCGAGGTCCTTGAGTCCGAGCAGGGAGATTTTGTCGTCGGGCTTGATTTTGTCGTAGTCGGCGGGGTTGGCGAAAGTCATCGGAAGCATACCCTGCTTTTTCAGGTTGGTTTCGTGGATTCTGAAGGAAAAAAATACAGTTTAGTGACTTACCCCCTTACTAATAAAACTTACACGCTCGGTGATCAGTGTTTTAAAGTGACGTTTAGTATGGAAATGTCATTTTAAAACAGTGATCAACAACTGTGTAACTTTTTATTAGTAAGGGGGTTAAAGTTGAAATGTGAAGCGTTTTAATCGGGACTAACAAACGACATCGGCTTTAAAATTTATTATGACGAATTGCTGATGAATTAGGCAGTAATGACGCTCGTGGAAGTTTTTAAATATGACTAACTATGAAATGGAACGCTGGATTACAAAAGAAAAACAAATGACTGACTGAATGAAACGCACGAATTAGGTGTAACGTCATTGTCAGTCGTGTTCTACAAAAGACGATGTTTCGAGCACAAATTGTAACTTGTGGTGGTTGGGATTGCTATCACAACCCCATTCTTTCAATCGAGTGAGAGAGCAGCAGGGGGACGATTCTCACGCAATCGAAAAAAGTTCACATTCGAAAAATAATTCGAAGGCCGTTCATAGGGTAAGGTTAGGTTTTTGCTTGGCCCCCGATTGATATGGCGAAAGACTTGATGATGATGGACTACTAGCTAGCCGTGTAGTAGTACGGTAGTACGAAGTTTTGGCGCCCCACTGACCTGGCGAATGGTTTGGCGATGATGGCTTCCGACTGATATGGCGAAGTACTAGGCGGTGATTGGCTAGTAGTCGCGTGTGTACTAAAAGACCTTGGCTCCCCAATGCCCTGGCGCAGGACTTGACTACTACGGAACAAGCGTACTAACCTGGCGAAGGACTTGACGATGATGGCGCGGCCGCCGAGGTGGCGCGGCTCGAGCGCGGCGTGCTCGCGCGAGGAGCCCTCGCCGTAGTTCTCGTCGCCCACGACGCACCAGCGGACGCCGGCCGCCTTGTGGCTCGCAGTGTACTGCAAGTGTACTGGTCTCCCACTGACCTGGCGAAGGACTTGACGACGCTGGATTACTTGCCGAATTGCTTTCCCCTCACTGACCCTGCGAAAGACTTGGCGATGATAGACTATAAGCCAAGGGAATTAAAAATTCTTGGCCTTGACTTGTACTGACCTGGCGTAGGACTTGACGATGATGGCGCGGCCCGAGCGCGGCGCCCACGACGCACCAGCGGACGCCGGCCGCCTTGTGGCTCGCAGTGTACTGCAAGTGTACTGGTCTCCCACTGACCTGGCGAAGAACTTGGCGACGCTGGATTACTTGCCGAATTGCTTTCCCCTCACTGACCTTGCGAAAGACTTGGCGAAGATAGACTATAAGCCAAGGGTATTAAAAATTCTTGGCCTTGACTTGTACTGACCTGGCGTAGGACTTGACGATGATGGCGCGGCCCGAGCGCGGCGCCCACGACGCACCAGCGGACGCCGGCCGCCTTGTGGCTCGCAGTGTACTGCAAGTGTACTGTACCTCTAGTAGGAAAAACTTTCGAGTTCGTTTCGTTGCGTATTCAAAGTGTCATCGAAAAATTTTGTATGAAAAATTAAACAGCGCCCCCTATATTATAGCCGCCCTAGGGGGCGCTGTTTAATTTTTCATACAAAATTTTTCGATGACACTTTGAATACGCAACGAAACGAACTCGAAAGTTTTTCGTACTAGAGGTACTGGTCTCCCACTGACCTGGCGAAGGACTTGACGATGATGGCGCGGCCGCCGAGGTGGCGCGGTTCGAGCGCGGCGTGCTCGCGCGAGGAGCCCTCGCCGTAGTTCTCGTCGCCCACGACGCACCAGCGGATACCGGCTGCCTTGTGGCTCCCAGTGTACTGCAAGTGTACTGGTCTCCCACTGACCTGGCGAAGGACTTGACGATGATGGCGCGGCCCGAGCGCGGCGCCCACGACGCACCAGCGGACGCCGGCCGCCTTGTGGCTCGCAGTGTACTGCAAGTGTACTGGTCTCCCACTGACCTGGCGAAGGACTTGACGACGCTGGATTACTTGCCGAATTGCTTTCCCCTCACTGACCCTGCGAAAGACTTGGCGATGATAGACTATAAGCCAAGGGTATTAAAAATTCTTGGCCTTGACTTGTACTGACCTGGCGAAGGACTTGACGATGATGGCGCGGCCGCGAGGAGCCCTCGCCGTAGTTCTCGTCGCCCACGACGCACCAGCGGACGCCGGCCGCCTTGTGGCTCGCAGTGTACTGCAAGTGTACTGGTCTCCCACTGACCTGGCGAAGGACTTGACGATGATGGCGCGGCCGCCGAGGTGGCGCGGCTCGAGCGCGGCGTGCTCGCGCGAGGAGCCCTCGCCGTAGTTCTCGTCGCCCACGACGCACCAGCGGTCGCCGGCCGCCTTGTGGCTCGCAGTGTACTGCAAGTGTACTGGTCTCCCACTGACCTGGCGAAGGACTTGACGATGATGGCGCGGCCGCGAGGAGCCCTCGCCGTAGTTCTCGTCGCCCACGACGCACCAGCAGATACCGGCTGCCTTGTGGCTCGCAGTGTACTGCAAGTGTACTGGTCTCCCACTGACCTGGCGAAGGACTTGACGATGATGGCGCGGCCGCCGAGGTGGCGCGGCTCGAGCGCGGCGTGCTCGCGCGAGGAGCCCTCGCCGTAGTTCTCGTCGCCCACGACGCACCAGCGGACGCCGGCCGCCTTGTGGCTCCTAGTGTACTGCAAGTGTACTGGTCTCCCACTGACCTGGCGAAGGACTTGACGACGCTGGATTACTTGCCAAATTGCTGTCCCCTCACTGACCTTGCGAAAGACTTGGCGATGATAGACTATAAGCCAAGGGTATTAAAAATTCTTGGCCTTGACTAGTACTGACCTGGCGAAGGACTTGACGATGATGGCGCGGCCCGAGCGCGGCGCCCACGACGCACCAGCGGATACCGGCTGCCTTGTGGCTCCCAGTGTACTGCAAGTGTACTGGTCTCCCACTAACCTGGCGAAGGACTTGACGACGCTGGATTACTTGCCAAATTTCTTTCCCCTCACTGACCCTGCGAAAGACTTGGCGATGATAGACTATAAGCCAAGGGTATTAAAAATTCTTGGCCTTGACTTGTACTGACCTGGCGAAGGACTTGACGATGATGGCGCGGCCGCGAGGAGCCCTCGCCGTAGTTCTCGTCGCCCACGACAAACCAGCGGTCGCCGGCCGCCTTGTGGCTCGCAGTGTACTGCAAGTGTGCTGGTCTCCCACTAACCTGGCGAAGGACTTGACGATGATGGCGCGGCCCGAGCGCGGCGCCCACGACGCACCAGCGGACGCCGGCCGCCTTGTGGCTCGCAGTGTACTGCAAGTGTACTGGTCTCCCACTGACCTGGCGAAGGACTTGACGATGATGGCGCGGCCGCGAGGAGCCCTCGCCGTAGTTCTCGTCGCCCACGACGCACCAGCGTGTGCCGGCTGCCTTGTGGCTCCCAGTGTACTGCAAGTGTACTGGTCTCGCACTGACCTGGCGAAGGACTTGACGATGATGGCGCGGCCGCCGAGGTGGCGTGGCTCTAGCGCGGCGTGCTCGCGCGAGGAGCCCTCGCCGTAGTTCTCGTCGCCCACGACGCACCAGCGAATGCCGGCTGCTTTGTATGCGCGCGCGGTGGCTGGTACGGGACCCCACTCGCCCGTCTTCTGGTTGCGGACTTTGTTGAGTTCGTTGTTTTCCGCGTTTGTGGCGCTGTGGAGAATGGTCAGATTAGGTTTATCTTTTTTTTTTAATGTCCAATGTACACGACTCTTATAGTCCCAAACTAAGCAAAGCTTGTACTATGGGTCCGGGTAAATGGGCAAAATCGGGCTATTTACCGTTCAAGAGAGGGACATCTGTGCCTTACTGTATATGGCAGAAGCCCTGTGAACATTACATTTTAAGATTGGAGCAATTCATTTATTACGTAGACGATTTAGGGGGGTCGATCATGTCTTATTTTTTCTTACTAGGGGTGGGAGGCTCGATTCGATAGTTCTTACGTATGTGAGTTCAAACTTTACTTTGAAAAAGCGCGAGCAACGGCGCGAGTGCCGAATTTTTCTCGGGTAAAGAACCCGCGCTACCGCACTGCGCCTCCCGGGAATCTTGTACCTATTCATTTTTCCTTTAGAGATTCTTACGTAATAAATATTAAACAGGGGGGAGGGGATTGGCCTATTCGTATTTTTTTCTTGTTATAGGAGGGGGTCAAATACTAACGAAAATAGTCTTACGTAATAAATGAATGGCCATTTAGTATAGCTCGATTCCAATACGTTTTATTTTACAAAAGATAAAAATTGAGACTATTTTTATGCATAACAAGGCAGGTATTTGACCACAATCGCAGCTGGTGTTAAGTGGGATACAGTTTTGGATGGTACATATCTGCCCTGTAACTCTTGTAAGTGCTTTTCACTCTTGCCTTGAAAAGGCACGGATAATAGTCATCAGGAAAGACAGCAGCAGGCAGCGAATTCCAGTCCCTAGCTGTTCGCATTATAAAAGAGTTATCAAAACGCTTTTAGCATACTGCGACTGCGTATACCCCGACAGTTATTCTACCATACTTATCGATGAATACTCACGTGATGAACATATTATTGGAGATGTTGTCGAGATGGCCGCGGTACTTGAGCCAGGGCCCGGCGGCAGAGATGTGGTCAGTGGTGCACTTGCCCTTGACCTTGATGAGGATGGTCAGGTCGGTGAGGTCCTTGCCGTCCCACTTGTCGAACGGAGCCAGGAGTTGCAGACGGTCGGAGGATGGGGACACGTCCACTTGCACCTCTGTGGGACGAAGGAATATGTAATTTTTTTTCAGATATTGAACGGACCCCGCAGGCAAATACGTAGCCGTTAATATTACATAGCTGCACTTTTTGTTACAACCGCCCTAAGAAAAGACAAGTTTTGGCAGAAATGGAAACAGATTGTAAGATCTATGAAATATTTTTTATCAAGGACATGACCACAGTAATGAAGAAACGAATGCTTCCGATCATCACTACCTTATTTATTACCTAGAAAGTAGGTAAAATGCAAATAAAAATTTTACAGATTAGTATTATTAGCCTGAGGAACGAAATGCACTATGGGTTCATTCTGGGCAGCACTTGGTCAACTTCCATACCGTCGTCTTAGAGTTAAAACCTCAGGAAAGCATTATTTCTCATATTCATGCATTTTGGTCAATCTTACGGAATATAACAGTTCTGAATATAAAGCGAGTTAATACTTCTTTTACACTTAAGAGGTTTTCTTTCACTTTATGGCGTCGATACATAGTTTGGCAATGTCCTTTGAATAGTATTATGTACTCACTGCTGCCGTCAGCGGGCGGGTGCTCATACGTGTCTTGGCCGGGGTCGAAGCCCTTGGCGGGCAGCTCGTCCGCGAAGGGGTCGGACAGCTTGAACTTCTTGCCGTCCGATAGTCCCGCTAGCCCCTCGTACTAAGCTAAATATGCTTGATCACGAGTGAGCTCTCCATAATATAGGTAAGATAGCCAGTTTCTCCGTGGTTGAGGATTCCGGGTGAAGCTCCCTTCCACCTTCGGCCTGATCGTCACTTACCATCAGGTGAGATACAGGCCAAGAGCTTCCTCGTTGTGGATAAAAAAAAATGGTCGAGTGGCGGCGGGAACCGAGCCCGCGTTCCCCGGATCACGAGTTGGCCACTCCGACCCGTTCACCGTTCGGCTATAGTGGCTTCTAAAGTCCGGTCGCCGAGTAGATAGAATTTCGTCCAATGACCCCAAGCTACCCATCCTTATCGCTCGCGCGTAATTGCTGTCGCAACTGTGCGACGGGCGGCCGCAGTGAGTGTGTGTGACGTGCCACCAATAAGGATGGGTAGCTTGAGGTCATTGGACGAATTTCTACGTGCTCGGCGACCGGACTTCATGCGATTATCGCTGTTTGAACCGGGCCATAAAGTAAGTGCGTGTGGTTAGTACTCACTGCTGCCGTCAGCAGGCGGGTGCTCATACGTGTCTTGGCCGGGGTCGAAGCCCTTGGCGGGCAGCTCGTCCGCGAAGGGGTCGGACAGCTTGAACTTCTTGCCGTCCGTGCCCGTCAGCTCGTCCGTCAGCGGGTTGAAGTCCAGGCGACCTGTGAGCAAAAGTAAGCTTTATTACTTTGTCATAAAGACTAAATTTGAGAGTTGAAGTTCAAGCGGCATGTGAGTCAAAATAAGTTTTATTACTTTGTCATAAAGGCTGATTATGGATTTGAGGGTTGAAGTCCAAGCGGCCTGGAGAAAATGAAGTGTAAGGTACACATTTCCTAACGTAACTATGTATTTGAGTTTCGCGTGGTTTCCCGCTGCACATTCGATATTGCTATCTCTGTGAGTGTGATTTTATGAGTGTTTATTTGAGCAATAAATCTGGGTTATCGGTCTACAGGTCCTAAAAAGGACCTTCTTTAAGTTTTTTAAGTGCTTTTGCAGACTTTTGCATACTATAGAGTAGTACTCTTCCATGCTTCAGTATTATTCAATTCATGTAAATTAGACCCAATATTTTTATCAAAAATATAGCTTCCATTCTTCTAGCTATCAATTTCCTTATGCTTCAACCACACCAACGCGTGCACCATTGCCATCGTCGGCGCGATCATAGGGAAATGACAGATCGCGTGACATATCATTTTCCTTTGATCGCGCCGGTGATAGCGATCTGCACGATTGGTGTGGTTGATGCTTTATACATAGGCGATTATCACACTGCACCGCGCTCCGCCGCGGTCCGCGTGGCGACATAATAACGAATCCCGCCCGTAAACGCCTTGTCAGTGTGTTGTGCCGCGCGTGTTTTCTATACAAACTGAGGTACTTGCATATAATGATTAAATCTGTCGGCGGAGCGCGGTGCAGTGTGATAATCGCCATACATCATCACTTACCAGCGAGCGACAGAGCGGTGACGAGCTCAGGGCTGGTGACGAAGCAGTGGGTGGCAGGGTTGGCGTCGTTGCGGCCGGTGAAGTTCCTGTTGTATGACGTCACGATGGTGTTCTTCTCGCCCTTCTTCACGTCCTTGCGGTCCCACTGCCCGATGCAGGGCCCGCAGGCGTTGGCTAATACCTTTTGGGTAAAAAAATAGTTTTAAGATCGAAGATTGTTGAATATTGGATCAATAGAATTATAATATGAATGATGATCATGGTAGATCACTGCTAATTATCCCAAGGTGTGGACACTATCTCATCTTTTTTAATCCAATCATCATGGTTGTTTGTTTGCAAAACTATTGATCTTAACTGTGTGGGCTATTTAATTTGGTACTTTTGAAATTTACTTACCTGCCAAACTTTAAAAGCTTATAAAACGAATTTAGCTCAAGTTATGAAACTAAAAGTCGACAACTTATCATTTTAGCTGTATTTTGTCAAAATACTAATTCGAACAATCCCAGTAATCTGTTAACATGCATATTCTTTTAGATATACTCACAGTGCCTCCGAAGTCTCTGAGGGTCTGCGCGATGCCGTCCCTCTCGATGGTGGCGCGCACCTGCTCAGAGCCGGGCGTGACGTTGAACGGGATCTTGGACTTCACGCCGTGAGTCAGCGCCTGGTAGCCAAGAAAACGTTAATAGATTGTTTTAACGCACTCACTTAACGCTTTGATAATATAATTATTACATTTGTGTGAACATTTTGTCCCTTATTCATAACAGGCATACATAAAATTATGAGCTTTTAAAACGCAATTTTTGATGGACTTTATACGGCAATACAAACATGAAGTTACTTTATAAGCAACTAAATAGTAGTTTTCAGGGCTAGAATAAAATGGCTTTTTCGAGAAGTTGTGTCTTGTAATTGTTGGTAAACATTTTATATTTTTACGGATTTTTGTTAGCTAACTGTAGTTTTATCTGCTTTTAACTGGCTTCAGTTATCATTAAGAAATTGTTTACAAAAACGTATAGTTATCTCTGGCTAACCGAGTCAATGACCGCCACAAAACAATGGTACATAATTTTATTATTAAATAAACTCAATGTTTTTGATAAAACGATAAATACTTCTAAAAATAAAAATAACGACATTCTTTTCTTAGAAAATAGGAAATATAACGCATGTCGAACGCGCGTCAGTGCGCTAAAGCGCTTAGTAGTATTTAAAAGATATTGTACAGTAAAACAGCGCGGTCCAGCAAAGCGCTGTATGCATGCATTTATAGCATTTTTTCCCGATCACATCCCCAAGCAGGCTCTGGATTGGAACCCTCAAGGAAAACGCAAAGTAAACGTGGTCGCCCCAAGCAAACTTGGCGGCGCACTGTGGCAGACAAGGCGAAGAAAATCGTCAAGACTTGGAGCGAGATCAAACGCGAAGTTCAAGACCGAACGGTGGAGGACTGTTGTGGACGCCCTCTGTCCCATCCAGGGGACATAGGACCTTAAGTCAAGTCATTTATAGCATTTTTTAGGGTCACTGACCTCCTTAACAATGCTAGCGCAGCGGCCCATGTCTTCGTATGAGGAGTTGGTGCAAGATCCGATGAGGCCGACGCGGATGTCCACGGGCCAGTCGTTCTTCTTGGCGATGTCGCCAAGCTTGGAGATCGGGTTGGCCAAGTCCGGGGTGAATGGTCCGTTGACGTGGGGCTCCAGGGTCGAAAGGTCGATTTCGATGAGCTAAAAAAAATAAGCATAAGTATGGTAGGTCACATAACGTCCCTCGCATGACTAACTATCCTATCTCAGTCTTTTGGCGATTTGAGTTAGGACTAAAGCCCGGTCCGTGAGCACGTAGAATTTCGTCCAATGACCCCAAGCTACCCATCCTTATCGCTCGCGCGTAATTATATTGCTGTCACGACTGTGCGACGGGCGCCCGCAGTGAGTGTGCGAGCGCGACAGCAACATAATTACGCGCGAGCGATAAGGATGGGTAGCTTGGGGTTATTGCACAAAATTCTACGTGCTCACGGACCAGGCTTTGCAATGTTTTTCCTGTTTCCATTGTCTACGATTTTCTCTAACTCACGTATCTGTATGTACATTGGTTCTCAACTTATAGACACGTGTGTAGCTAACGTATCTAAACAATAACTTGAAAAAAAGTTTTGAGAAAGTGGCAAAACTGAGATAAGAGAATCATGTCCGTTTTCACCATCAATCCCAAATTTTTAAGTGGCCCCTATGCAAACAAAATTCCTGATATTTGTTAACAAATTGTTACCATAGGGGTCACTTAAAAATTAGGGATTGATGGTGAAGACAGGCATTAGTCATATAAGGGACGATAAATGTAAACCCTGTGACTTGTTATGACGTAATGTATAAACGTAATAGCTGCTATTTTAAAACATATTGTGTGATGTCTTGATTCATTTCTCTCATTTATAATTTACTTTAAGAGCTCGCAGACTACAGACTTTTATCGGTTGATAGTTTCGTCGGTTCTAATTATAACATAATTAGAACATATTATGTGGAATAGGCCGATACCAAATCAGTGTAACATACAGACGATAGAATAACAAACATTTAAGGCTTGGGCAGACCAAACGCGGGGCAGTAGCAGTGCAGTTTGAATGCGGGCCCGCGCAAGTTGTAATACAAGAAACTCTTTGAAGTGTGTCACACCAAATTTGAACGCGGGCCCGCGCTGTTGTGTTACTAAGCGGCCATATTAGCATGACACACCGGACGCAGGGCGGTAACAGCGCGTTGAAAGCGATTTTCGAATATTTAAATTTTTGACAACCGCCCGCGTTGCAACTTCTTTGAAACTGCGCTGCTTTCAGTGTGCCTCAGCCACGCTGCAACTGACCCGCACTGCTTCTGACCCGCGTTTGGTTTGTGGAAGCCTTTAAAGTAGTTGTAATGCACAAATTACTAATAGTCCGATTAGCCCTTTGTACTAAGCTGCTTGTCACGAATCAGCTCACCACAATAGTCGAGCGTCGAAGGGATTCGAACCCGCGTTCCACGGATCACGAGTCGGCCAGTCCGACCCCTTCACCGTTCGGCTATCGTCGCTTCAGTTTAAAAGCATATGAATAGCCTGCTATGATTTTGACTGTGCATAAAATGCGTTCGCCAAATCGCAATTTTTGGTCAAATGTGTTTCGTTCCATTGACATCGTAGTCATCGCTAATTCCATCATGTCAAACAGATTGGCATCTTATGCCATTGTATTAAAAGCTATTTTACAAAGTATTACCTGGTCATAGGGCGCCTTAGCGTCGGGTGTGAGCAAGTTCTTGTGCTTGTTGGCGAGAGCGGCGATGTCGTGGCGGCCGGTCGACTTCAGATACGCTTCCATGCGAGAATTGAATGGGAACACCTGTAAGACAAAATATACTCTGAGCAAATGTGGATTGGGTTGAATTTTGAGTAGCATGCAATATAGACCTCCTCTCTCTCTCTCCTCTACACTTATTGTTTCTATTCTATCATTAATGTCATCATCATATTATTATCTGATGATTTAGTATCCAAGGCAGGACCTTCTCTAATTTAGCAGACTCAAATGGAAGGATATGGTTTGAAAGGTCCCTCACACTGGCTAGACGGAATAGGGAGGCTTGATTTCTCCCGTAGTCGCTTCACGACATCCACGGGAAGAGTGAGTGTCTCCTATTCTACTCTTCTGGAACCACACGACCTTAAAATTTCTATTCTATATTGTCAGAACTTCACAAGTGGTAGGCCAGCCCGTGGTTCTCCACAAATGGCGTTCTTTCATAGCCAATATGCCAACTTGACCTCATAAAGGTAGCAGGAAGTCGCTGGATGCAGGCCGCCACCAACCGGCCATTGTGGAAATCATTGGGGGAGGCCTATGTTCAGCAGTGGTCGTCCTATAGCTGAAATGATGATGATGATGACAACTTGAGCCTCTCATCTTCTAAAAGATGTAGAGCAACCTTGATAACTCACACTAGTGGTAGCACCAATCTCAGCGCCCATGTTGCAAATGGTGGCCATTCCAGTGCAGGAGATGGAGTCAACTCCAGGCCCGTGGTACTCGACGATTGCGCCGGTGCCTCCCTTTACGGTCAGGATGCCGGCGACCTTCAGGATCACGTCCTTGGGGCTGGTCCAGCCTTTTAGTTTGCCTGGAGACGAAATTGTGAATCACTATTGACTCTTACACATCCAAAAAGACAATGCCGGAAATTGGCCTTTTTTTTTCGCGCGGCCATCGACCAAACCTTGTTTTTTGATTACAAAATAGTGTAATAAACCAAACTTACTACGACATGTATACCTCTAAACTCAGTCTGAACTGAGTTACGAGCATTAGAAGTTTAAGAATTTACATACTAGATTTGCTTTTTGCGCGTAAGTTTTGTAAGAAATTGCAACAAAATAGTGACATTGTATGTATAAACAAACAATACCATCCATTTAAGGCTCCAGACATCGGTATGGAGTGGAATCAGCACAATAGAAAAATAGCGCAATATTTTGTAGCAATTTCTTACAAAACTTGCGAGCAAAAAGCAAATCATCAAACTTCTAATGCTTGTAACTCAGTTCAGAGCAGACTGAGTTTAGAGGTATACATGCCATAGTAAATTTGGTTTATTACACTATTTTGTAATCAAAAAAGAAGTTTGGTCGATGGCCGCGCCAAAAAAAAAACGCCACCTTCCATACAAAATCTGGCATTGCCATTTTAACAGCATCATCATTATAAAATTTTTTGGGCTCTACTGCAGATGGACGACTCAGTCAGCGTCAAATGATTTAGGCGCAAAATGTCAAATCCATAGAAATCATAAACCTAATCTAACTAATACTTTGTTTTATTAACTCAGCGGTGAAACTAATCAACAAAATTAAAACGGGAAAAAAATATCATAAATAAAGATTAAGATTTTTAGGGATTTGACATTTTGCGCCTAAATAATATAGTTCGTGACACCCAAAGTGGCCAAAAAGACGATTGTGACAAAGACGTGTTACTTATTGGTTACTTTGGGTGTCAGGAACTATGTAAAGCTGACTGTGCCAGAGGCAAATGGAGGATTTGCTCTACACTCCCCACGCTGGCCAGACGGGTCGGAAAGGCCTGATGTTCGCATAATTCTTCATCCTCAAGCTAGATTAGCATTTTAGTTTCGTTTCGTTTAGTGGTACTACAGCTGAATCAAAACGATTGACTATTTACGTATCATCACACACCTTATCGCATCATAAGATGTTGGTATAAAATATGTGATTCAATATTGTTATTAGAAGTATATCCTCCTTTATGGTAAAGCATATTGAAGTTTTTTTTATTTTCAACCTTAACACGGTTTCCATAGGACTCAAATTGCTGCAGCTTTGTTATTTATTCGCAATAGGGTATTTGACACCACCAATCAATTGACGTACTTTTTAAAACTGTCAAAACGACACTCTCCCATATATTTTGTACGGCGATACTAGCATGTGACGTCACAATTTTATCAACTCAATGAAACTACTTTTTACAATTTTAATGCAACCAAAAATCGTAATTTACAGGTAATTAAAAATTAATTAAGTTTTTAAGACCAGAAAGAAGTGTCTTTTTAAAAAAGTTGTGGTTTAGAATTATTGGCGAATGGTGTCAAATACCCAATTCGCATGAACAAGTTTCACACCATAATATTATGTTTGTTTATTCGATGTATTCTTATAGTCGTACGTCGAACAACATACGTTTAATGGAAAAGAAGAACGGTCATCTGTGACCCAGGCCCGACAGAAACGAGACATACCTCAGTTTTTTTGTCATGTCTTAATTAGTTAAATTATATATTTTTTATATTCGAAATCTATGTATAACACCAAATTATTACCCTTTGTTTTTGTTCAGGCGTCATACAAAAACTAATACAAAATGCCTATTTATCACCAAAATTGGTAAATGTATGTACCTAAATAGCTGCTATGGAATGTATCTAGGTGACCTAAAGATACAGCCGGATTAATACAGGGTGGAAACGAGAAGTTACAAAATCTAAAAATTCAATGTTACCAGCTTCCATAATCTGTAACCTATTATTGGTACCATTTGAAAGAGCTCGTGAAGCACTTTCAGAATCAGTATCTACTTTTTCGATATCTTGTATAGTTTAGAAATAATCGAGTGAGATCACTTTTCGTTCCATATGTATAACCACCCTGTATAATCCGGTTGTATCTCCAGGTCACCTAGATACATTCCATAGCAGCTGTAATAGACATTTAGGTACTATCGAGGACNCCCGATAGTACATACATTTACCAATTTTGGTTATAAATAGGCATTTTGTATTACTTTTTGTATAGCGCCTGAACAAAAACAAAGGGTAATATTTTGGTGTTATACATAGATTTCGAATATAAAAAATATATAATTTAACTAATTAAGACATGACAAAAAAATTGAGGTATGTCTCGTTTCTGTCGGGTCTGGGTTTTTTTTGTATGGGGCGTGACCGTTCTTCTTTGACAACGTTACAATTGATAAGGCAGATTCTACGTAGTGATTTAAAGAAGTTACTTAACAATGTGACGTATTAAAGTTATCTTATCACATTATGTATGACTTATTCAAAGGCAAAAAAACATGTAAAGAAACAGGTGTGAATATGAATAGTAGTCTTAAATCTCCATTTATCTTGCTTGATATTGTTTGTACAAGTGCTTTATATTTTCATTCATGCTATTTACATTTTGAAGGATGTTGCAATGTTACTTTGCTCACTATACAATAGGTATTACATTAAAATTATGCGTATAAAAATATGTGCCTTATTCTCAAACGCATAAACGTCAAAATAGCCGACTTATTTTCGTTATACGAGACTGTTCCACCAATAAACGTGTCATACGATACTACGCAGATACGCGGTGCATTAATGGACGAGAATTGCAGTTATGCAAGCCTATTTAGATTATTTCTAACACATGATCTTCGCACACGTGATAGTATAGTTCAAGTCCTATCCAATAATTGCTAGACGGTATAGAGTCTAGACTCTAGGCTATTAAACCTTAAACGACTACAATTTATAGTTTTTGCTATAGTATTATGTTTATTATACGTAGAATTCTTCACTTCACAGCATAGTAGCGGAAATATTCAAGTTTAATCAATTAGTAACACAACACAACTTCAGTGGTTGTTGATTGATACTCGTAGCTCTTGAATGATCTGAAATAGGCATTCCAAATTCTCATATTACACAATTAATAATATCTTGTTTATAAAATGGTCTTCGACATTCCAAAAGAAGTTTTCTATTATAGTTTATCGCTATATTTGGGAGACTGGCCTCTTTACACAGTTGTTTATCTGCCGTTTGATTGATAGGTGAATGCATCATCCAAAATAGGCTCCTTTGTTTGCTAATTAACATACCTAACTATGTATACATTTGTTTATATAAATTCCTAATACTATGTTTGTATGAATGCAACGCGCGTTATGTCACACACTCACATAATTTGAATGCTCGTTCGATATAAAGAACTCACGCACAGCCCTGGGTTTTTTGGCTGAATGCCACCAACGTATCACTCTATTTGTGGCGCCTAAAACGCAGTTAGTACAGTAAAATACGAGGATTCGATACTTTTTGCGCAAAATTTGATCACATTCTTCGAAAAAACCCCATAGGTGTGTAGGTATATTTTCAACCGGGCTAGGATGCGCACCGTGATAAAATGTTATCGGTGATTTTAGACAGTAGATATCGCTTGCAGCTTAGCTCGCATAAAATCGGTAAAACCCATACAATAAATATAATAAACATTTAATTTTAATGAGATGTGAATTAATTTGTTCTCAGCAAAAAATTGTCTAAGAACGATTTGTCTGCGTTTTTGCAATGCGAGTTTGCAAGTGAACTGTACATTTTGCGAGTGAAGTTAAAGATAGCGTTTCTGTTTTCTTTTTGCATCCAGAAATATTTAACACAGGACGATAAAAACAACAACATTGGTCATGTTTGACCTTGACGGATTCCTGTGTTCCAGTGAAGTTAAAAATATAGATCCCATATGATTTCCCATGAAATCTGCTAAAAGCATCATCTAACTTTTATTTGTCTTTTAGCTATTGCCATCTAGTTTACGACACGTGCGAAATCACATGCGAATTGGTATTATTAACTGGGCGCCTGAAAAATCTACTTATGCTAAATTAATTTTTTTTTAGATTGTTGCAAAAAAAAATGCATTGATACTCAGAATCAGAACTGTGATATCTTATCACCGAATTCTTAATGAGTTTAACAAATTATCTTATCAAAAACTTTATTATTAGGTACCTACTGCTTACGCACCCGCCCCAAGTTGTGAAATAGTTATCTTATGACTCCAATTTATTTATGTTTCACTATAAACATATATTTTTATCAAAGAAAAACGTTACTGTTCAATTTTTTTTCTTAATATCCCACAAAACCACTAAATACTCGGTGTGAAACAATGACTCATCATTCTTATTTTCCTAACTCCTGCCTGGGCCACACACATGGCTATAGCCAGAAGATTCGCGCTTACGCGAGTTGTGTAGCCGAGTATTCGCGTATACTTCGGTGCTTTTTTGCATAGTCGCAAGGATTTCGCTTTCGCCCGAATGTCATCGCAATGTATGTGGCCCTGGGTTTACAGAATTAATTATAGAGGTAAAACTCACCTGTCAATTTGACACCGATAACTTTCGGGCACTTCAGTTCCCATGGAATGTCAGCCATCACGTCTACAGCATCAGCACCACCGACACCTAAAAAGTAATTAATTTAATATCTAGGTAGTGTTAATTGTGAAAAATATAAAACGTTAAAATAGCGGTATCGTTATAGCCAATGAGATGCTGTCATAGTGACATTGACAATACGTCAATGTCACACTAGGATCAAACGTCAGAATAGAGGGACGCGCGGAGACGACTCCGCGCGCTTTTGTGCTAAGTGATGAATTGTATCTAAAATAAGGCAATATACTGTGAAAGTTAAGTATCCAGTGTTTTATTTATGAGAATAGATCTACCGGCCTCTAATAGTAGTGTGTTGTTTCATGAATGTACAGAAAACAATACATAAACTCGTTAGTTAGGAGCCACTTGGAATACTGTAGCGTTGTCTGGTCTCCTGGATATGGTGTGCATATCGCACGAATTGAACGGCTGCAAAAGAGGTTTTTATGGCATCTGACATACAATTGCAAATTGGGGAAAAAGCTCAAATCATATAAGGATCGCCTAAAATATTTCAGAATGGCATCGCTGGAGAGGCGCAGAGAAATGTTGGATTTAGTTTTTCTAAAAAAACTTACAGCTGGTATATTTCATTGTCCCGATTTACTTAGCAAAGTTTATTACCATGTGCCACGTGTTCTACCCAGACAATTAAATAAAAAACTATTCAGCTTGCCGCAAGGCCGCACCAATTTGAGAAAGCACAGTTCGCTGTCCAGGATGTATACATTGTATATGGACCATGAAACCGACATAGATTTAAACTTTACCTCAATACCTGGTATAAAGAAGGCCATACTTGCTTTGGAATAATCATGCATTTAAAATTAACTGAATTTATTTAAATACTGTATTGGTTATCTCTATTGTAACAAACATTTGCGAATATGTTCGATGCATCTGTATTATTGTATACTGTAGCAATATAAAATTGCACTGTAGTGTAGGTAGCATTTGCATTTTTTATTTTTTGCGTAGTTACACATTATTTAGCAGATGCAGTGCTTTTCTTTAAGTGATGGGGCACTTATACATGTAATTTTGGTTATGTATTTTAAATTTTAATAGTGTACTTATTGTTGAAGAGCCAAAATAAATAAATAAATAAATAAATAAATTGTGATGACAACTTAAATAGTTGCAATAAGGGCGACTTTGCTGTACATTTAGTTAGCGTGAATAAAATATTCGCGAAAATTATTAAATAATAATCTGCAGATAAGTACGGATGCATAAAAAACAGACGTCACAAATTATAATCGATAAATAAAATGATATGGAAAACCCGTGGTAAAACAATGACAATCAATTGGTGATATTATGGTAGTTTCAATTCCCAAATTTACGTTGCAGTTCGGCACGCAAATCTGATAAGAAGACAGCCGTCACTTGAGAAATATTTGGAACTGGCTTCTACTGTGGCTTGGTCCGCGTATTGATAAAAAATAGGCACTGAGTTTATAGTTTCATGAAAATCTGTCAAGTAGTTTTTGGGTTCAGAAGTAGGTGGCTTACCAATGCAAAGACCACCAAGACCTCCTCCATTAGGTGTGTGGGAGTCAGTTCCGATCATAAGGAGTCCGGGGAAAGCGTAGTTCTCCAGGATGATCTGATGGATGATTCCAGAGCCTGGCTTCCAGAAACCGACTCCATATTTAGCTCCAGCGGTCTCGAGGAACTTGTATACTTCTTTGTTGATGTCCTGTAGGAGGATTGAGTTGAGTATTGGCCTTTGTTAAGTTTTATAAAGCTGTGGACTTATGATGAAAGAAAAGGTAGCTAGTACCTGCGCATTGTCTCATCTTCGCAGGGGCACAACTGTACTCCCAGATATCCCAACTTAATTTTTAGATAAAGTTTATGGTTTAAGGTAAAGTTTTTTAGGGTTGTCACACTTTTCAACGACGACTGCGCTACTGAAACAAGTTGTCGCAAAAATATTGTTTGGTTTAAAAAGTCCCACCAGGGTTGCCTCACCTTAGGATGGATGGTGGACAGCTACGCGCGGCAGTCCCAATGAGATGAAGCAGCATGGCATGAGCGGTGGCGTACTAATGGCCACTAGTGTAGTCTCACCTTAGCGCGGGCCAAGTCCTTGTCGCCTCCGATCTGCGCCTCGATCAAGTGGTCGCAGTGGATGGTGGAGGGTACAGCTACGCGCGGCAGTCCCGATGAGATGAAGCAGCATGGCATGAGCGGTGGCGACTGCATCACTAGTGTTGTCTCACCTTAGCTCTAGCCAAGTCCTTGTCGCCTCCGATCTGCGCCTCGATCAAGTGGTCGCAGTGGATGGTGGAGGGTACAGCTACGCGCGGCAGTCCCGATGAGATGAACTGCAGCATGGCCATCTGTGCGGTAGCGTCCTGCATGGCCACACGGTCCGGCCGTAGGCGCAGGTAGCTTGTGCCGCGTTCGATTTCCTGGTGTTAAAAACATGATAAAAAGTGTAAATGTACCCGTAAAATCGGAATTTCCCAACTCGCACCTGCTAGCGAGTTTGACCCTGGGCCCTGGGCTAATACTACTTAGGGGCCCGCCTACTATACTCTTTCGCATTATCGTCTATTTTTGACTTGACTTAGCTGGGGGCCCCTTGAATTCCGGGTTGAAACCAAAAAAACCATCATGGTAGATCCAGCCCTGAAGCTACAACTTAAGATCTATATTTATAGAATAATAGTTGCAGCATAGAATGAAACTTGTGAGAAGTATGTGACCAAGTATATATTTTTCTTTATAAAGTTTAACAAACAGAAAATAAATAAATTGAGAAAGTTTTTACATTGCAAATTTAATCAAAGCAGACAAATAATAAATTATGAGCTAAAACAGTATAAAAAGTAGTTAATTTGTGATTCATTTTCCTGCAGACTCCAAATAGGTATTTTATAATTCATTTGCTTTTACAAAACTATGTCTATCATTATTTTTATGCAGAGAAGTAGAGCTCATTCATTGTTGCTAATAATAATACATCAATGTCACATACAACTTCATATCATTTGAGGTGTGTTATCAAATCAAAGTAGATATCCCCAAAGCTTTTCTTAAATGATAAGTGTTATCTTGAACTGAACAATGTATTGGTTTAATTACCAGTGATAAAGTGAGTTAAAACTTGTTTTATATGAAAAAAATGTTACAATTTAAAAATAAATAAGAAAAAGTGTGATAAATTTACAATAAACTACATTCAAACTTAATTAAAAATAAATTATTTTATACTATTCTGATGCATGCATGCCTAAAAGATCGCATCATAAGAGTTAGTTTAAAAATAAACACTGCCTTCTAAGAAAATTATAATTAAGTTGTAACATTAAAAAGACAGCTTAGCTCACAGAAATAGCTTTGCCTTTTTAAACAATAGCTTTATAAAAACAATACCTAAACAAGAAAGCAAACTTCATTCATTTACACTTTACACCTTATTAACATGTTAGCACTAATTTGTATTTATTTCAATAGTTTTAGAGAATAGTCAGTGCTACTTTTAAAAAGACCATATGTAGTAACCTGATTATGATTGGAAAAAAGGAGGTTTTTTAATTTATTCACATTATGAAATGAAATATTACTTACTTGTCCTTTGGGGTCATCTAAATGTGAGTAGAGCACCTTCTCCGACAAGGTCATGTCACGACCTAACCTCTTTTTGACAACATCCAGAGTCTTTGATAATTTCTCGTATGGCAGTGGAGCCTTGTCGAATTTCGACATGGCGACCTGCAAAGCATCATACAACGGGTTACCACCATGATTTTCAGGATCAAACACCCATTTATCAGCATAACAGTGGTTACATAACAATGTTATGCTCCCATAGAAAATGCGAAAAGTACACTTCTTTTTCAAGTATCAACTCACCTGAGCCGCCGCAGCGGTCAATGGTGATACGCTGAAGCATCTCTGCTGAATTTCCACCAGTACAGCCCTTGTCCTGCCACCCTAAAACCAAATGGCTTCACGTCAACAACTTCAATGATTATTCACGCAAGAGACGCTAACACGTTCCCAAAAGTAAACACGAGCCAGACCAGGATTAAGATACTACGAGCCACCCCTGACCTTACGTAAAAGATCACTGGATGTGACCCCAACCATTCATATCGCTACGGCGCAAACGATTCGCGTAAATGATAACGCTGTAAACAAATAATTGTGGTGTTATCGGCGGTCACTTATTAAAGAAAACTAAAGATTACGATAACCTGGAACGTGGATAAAACGTTGAATAACTCACCTGGCCATGCAAAACTCTCATACAGTGAGCCATGGTTGCCGGACTTTCGTATAACGATAGAAAATTTAATAAAAGCTTATGATTAAATATAAAATTAGCGCAACATGGATCGATCCAATTATTTGGCCGTGCTGGTAACTGCTAGAAGCAGTTCAAAATTCAGCGTACACGGTTCACACCACACACTTCCACCACCGCTTTTGTAATTTTGGCACTTTTGACGTTTTATCAGCAGGTTCATGATTTTCCCCAAAAATGTTGCCACATTATTTCTTATACCTTCAAATAAGGTAACTTATAAAAGATTTTTTTGCCCTACACAGTCAACTTTGTGGGCAATTTTGTTGAACTTGAACGTTGACATGTTTTTATGGATTGTGTGGTGTGTGGGGCAAAATATGCGCTGGCTGGATAGGTACCTGGCTAAAAATAATTATCGTCATATTAGGTTAGGTGTTATGTTACTGTTAATATGCTGATAACCCGCTGTTAACCCGCTGTCAACTATCCGGCGAAATCGTTCATGATTAAAGTAATACAGGGTAGAATTTTATAATGCCACCTGAAGGGAAAGTACTCATAATAGGTACCTACTGTAGATAGAAAATTATAGTCAAAGAAAATATTCCTTTATTTCTGAAAAGAAATAGAACTGCTTTCAAGGATTTCCAAAAACTTTGCTTTTCACCACACCCGGGAATCAAACCAAATAAACAAATAAATAAACCTTTATTGTCACCATAACAAAAAAAAAACACATACAAACTGAAATTTGTTAAAACTTAAAAACTGAAATTTGTTAGAAATTAAACTCTGTATTTTTATTGCAACAATCATTACGTTACGATTAAGTATAAGAAGGATGAAATCTCTCTGATAAATCAAATGATAGGAAAACCGTGTTTCAAATTATTTTAATCATTTGCAGAAAACTGTATGCTGCAGCTGTGGTGGTAAATTTTCGAAAATTTTTCGAAAATCTTTGAATGTAGTATATCTTTCCCTTAAAAAATAAAGAAATGTTTTCTTTGAGTAAAATTTTCTATCTACAGTATTAAAAGTACTTTCCCTCCAGGTGGCATTACAAAATTCCACCCTGTATAACTTCAGAAGGCCTATAAATTCTGTCCTTGTATTCAAATAATACATCATGTGTCATTCTCCAGAGCGAAGAACGAACTACAGGAAAAATTACAATTTCTTGTCTAAAAAGGTATTTCTGCCGTAAACACCTGGCAATATTGAAATTGTTTAATGTCCGAAACCGCTTAAAGATGCTTTTCATCCATGATGATTTCCATTTTAAATAATTTTTGTCATAGTCGATATTAATTTTGTTTTTAACAAAAGTCTTCGATAACTGCTAATTAATTAGCATTTATACAAATAGAAAAATTTTCTATTTATTTAATATCATCAATCAAATATTAACAAAAAAATAAACGATTCGGACGGGACAACTACTAGTGCCTGAAAAAATAAAATTTCAAGATGCACTATGATTGGTAGTTGAAGCATTTCGTAGGATTGAATTGATCTGTGATTGGTTTTTAGAACGCCACTCCCTCCACTGCTTTATTTTACTGTCACTGTCAGTGTCAGTGTCAGTCACTTTGATAGTTGCTTTTGGTTACTTTGTTTTTATTTCAGGCAAATTGGATTTTTTTCAAAATCTTGGGGTCTTTCAAGAAAGTGCGATTAAAGTTCAAATGAAGATTATCATATTGATTACACGGAAATCTCTATGAGACAATTTACCAAAGAATAAAACCGTTGCAATGACTAACGCTACGATCCAGGTATGTAACACACCCACTTTTAATTTACTTCCAAAATCAGTTTTATCTTTCGTAGATCACCAGTTAATTAATATAAACTTTGTTATTTTCATCTTCTAATTGATTAAAACTTAACAGTTATGATTCATGAAATGATCAGTATGATCTTCTTTATAAACTATTTTTTAGGAAATAGAAGGTATAGATGACTACTGGGGCCCTGCATTTCGATCTGTGTACGAAGGGGAAGGGCATGAAGCCTTCGTGCAGCAGTTGGACGAGAGAATCAAACAGCATGACAAGGAAATAGAGAAATTATGCAACTTTCACTATCAAGTAAGTATTGTGTGTTAAATAAAACATTCCTACTAAATCATGACTAAATAATTTCCGCGTTTAGTAATATTTAATTATAACGTGCCTCATCAAAATAGTTTGCCAGGTTGTGACTGAAAGTAGGACTAACTTTTTTTTGCTCCGTTAGTCCTAGAACTTAACATGATTATTTGAATGTGGCAAGAGTTATCAAACTGTGAAATTTTCATTAGAGCTACCTGTTAGATTGGAAAAGCTATAAAAGCTTATACTCATAGTACACTAGACTTATAAACCTTCAGGAAATTGATATTATTTGTATCTTTTTGCAGGGTTTTATTGACTCAATCCGTGAGTTGCTCAAAGTTCGATCACATGCTGAAGAGTTGCATGCGGAGATATCCAATGTCGATGCCAATGTCAAAGAAGCTACTGAAAGTGAGTAAATATGTTACAGTCAAAACTCATAACATGGTTGTGACTGATGCCCTTGGTCAATATCACTTTTGACAGATTTTTCCAGTCAAAAGTGGTAAAATTTTAACCAAGGGTTTTAGTAAAAACCACTTTTGACTACCAAAAATCAGTCAAAAGTGGTTTCGCCTACTTATTAAAATCTTTACAATCAGTCCAAAATTCATAGTCCACTTATCTCAAAACAGTTTAATAAATCCGAAATCCAGTGTGTTTCTTGCTTTCATTATTCATTGAAGATATTTGTAGGATCAGAACTGAGTATCATAAATATACAAATTACTTACACCATAATGTTCATGATAGGTTCCAACACCAAAATATCTTCAATGTTCTGTTGTTGGAAATCTTAGTAGTTACCTATACTAGTATTATAATTATCTGCCTATACTAATGTTTATAAATTATATTCAGTTTGAATTTGTTTATCATTTTCAGGCATCTGTACTAGAGCGGATGAGTTGATAAGAGCCAGGCGGGTGGAGCTGAACATAGCGGCGACCATCGAGAAGATGGAGCTATGTTTGCCCCTGCTCACCACATATTCTAAGCTGAAGACACAGGTGGAGGCCAAAAGGTATGAGTTTTGCAATAAGCCTCCACACTAGCATCTTTCGAGCGTCGTCGTCTTGCCAGCGCCCGCGTAGCGTCGCTGGACAAGTAAATGCTGAGTATGTTGCATTACTTGACGCCCCGCTCTTGATGACCCTCGTAATTTTTATTCGAAAATATCTAAACCCTCAGGTGATCATCATGAAAAATCTGATCTTCTCAAGAATTAAGAAGACTCAATGTTGATTTATTTATTTATTAGTCTTTTTGCCTTGATGCCATGTTGTTAAAGCAAATATTGTTAGTACAAAGCTCATTTCAACCTAGCTAGCTTCAAATAGATAAATTTTTACCCAACTGCGCGACGCAAAGGAGTGGTAATGTGTTGTGTGTTATAAGCCCATTTTGGCACTACAATGTACCATGTTTTTGATCTCAGATACTATCCAGCCCTCAAAACCCTAGAGCAGTTAGAACACGTGCTTTTACCTCGCGTGGGCCCATACAAGTGGTGCGGGCAGATCGCCGCAGACATACCGCGGCTACGGCAAGCCATACAAGATGCTTCAATGGCTGACCTGAGAGACTTCCTCGAAGAAATCAGAAGGCTTAGCCCACAGGTTTGTTTCCAAAGTACCCTATTATTGCCAATGAGAGATAGTCATGAATGAGCCTATACAAGTGGTGCGGGCAGATCGCGGCAGACATACCGCGGCTACGGCAAGCCATACAAGATGCTTCAATGGCTGACCTGAGAGACTTCCTCGAGGAAATCAGAAGGCTTAGCCCACAGGTTTGTTTCCAAAGTACCCTATTATTGCCAATGAGAGACAGTCATGAATGAGCCTATACAAGTGTTGCGGGTAAATCGCGGTCGAAATCCCGCGGCTACGGCAAGCCATACAAGATGCTTCTATGGCGGACCTGAGAGACTTCCTCGAGGAAATCAGAAGGCTAAGTCCACAGGTTTGCTTGCCAAATATTTTAATACAATTTACCCGGCGAATTTCGTGCCGCCTATGTTATAACTCGACGCAAATACTCGTGGCAGTCGGGGCCATAAGTAATTTTTTAATAACATATAAACAACGCTATGCCGTTGAGTGAGATCACCCATAACCAGTGTGAATGCGAGAGAAAACGTGATATGCACTGTTTTATTATTACACCGCTTTCCACGAGTCTTTGCGCCGAGTATAATCAGAAAATATGCATGATTCTCATGGTAAAAGGAAAATCAAATCGGTCCAATAGTTTCGGAGCCTATATTTTCTGGACAGATAAACTAATAAAATAAGTTTATTTTGTATACAGGTTGGTGCAATGGCCTTGAGACAGACTCAAGAAATTCTAGGCAGAAGTTTGGCAAGCATTGTCAAAAACAAAAAAGGTAAATAAAATTAATTCTTCTTCTTCTTTGTTGCTACACTCTTGGTATAGTGGTGTGGTCGTCACACCTGGTTTGGTGACCAGCTTCACAATCCGTCGCCATTCCTTCCGCATTTGCAGCCTTTCTTGTACACTTGTGGAGTGAACCATTAAGTGCAATTTTGACCTGATCGATCCAGCGCATAAAATAAAATTAATACATCTTAGTAGAAAAACCCTATGTATATTTCTTAAGTCACTCAAAACGGGACGCGCGGGCGCTTGTTGTAACTATTCCTTTCCTTAATGAAGTAAATACATAAATACATTATTACTGATTTACTTTATTACAGATATGGCAGTGCTAGGTATATCAGGCAAAGAGGCCATCGGTCCACAGTGTCCTCACGAGTTGGTCGACTTCAGTCCGCTGCACCGCTGCCTCCACATACACAGCGTGTTGGGAGCCAAGAACGACTTCATACAGTATTATAGGTATGTTCGACTTTATTCAGTATTAATGTTGGTTTATTACTGCACTAAATAAATATTAATAAAATATGTTTTTTCTTAAAAAGTTCTCATACAATATTGGGTTACTTATCATATTTTTGGTCTAATCTGAAACTATCGAAGTCTCGGGACCAATATTACGTTAGATTAAAAATCTAACCAGCTGCCCAGTCATGTTACTTGAAGATACCAAACGTGATAGGTTTTATTTCGAAATCGCTTATACTAAAAACCGGCCAAGTGCGTGTCGGACTCACGCACAAAGGGTTCCGTACCATTGATTTATGAAATTAAAAAATATTTTTTTTTAATTTAAGTTATTTGTATGAAAGATTACGCGGTAATATGCGGTTTACGATTTACGAGGTATTAAAAAAAACTACTTACTAGATCTCGTTCAAAACAATTTTCGTTGGTAGTTTTTATAGTAATGTACATCATATTATGTTTTTTTTAGATTTTTCATTTTCTTATAATAGAAGTTAGAAGGGGGGACCAACTTTTTTCCGCTTTGGAAGCGTCTGTCACGCAAACTATTCGGTTTAGAAAAAAATATATTTTAGAAACGTATGTGTTGGATGAAAACAAAATTTTTGAGTTTCAGTTCTAAGTATGGGGAGCCCCCAATATTTATTATTATTTTTTTATTTTTGCATCAAAATCTTAATGCGGTTCACAGAATACATCTACTTACCAAGTTTCAACAGTATAGCCCTTATAGTTTCGGAAAAAAATGGCTGTGACATACGGACGGACAGACGGACGGACGGACAGACAGACATGACGAATCTATAAGGGTTCCGTTTTTTGCCATTTGGCAACGGAACCCTAAAAACGCCGGAGTGAAGCGATATCAGATTTACAACTGCCAAGTTTTGTAACTTGTCTAGAGGGGGCTGGAATCAAGTCCAGTATCGTTACACCAATCAATAGAATCTGTTACAAGAATCAATCAAAACAACTACACTGGTCATCACAAAAATCGACCCTCCCGCGACAAGCACTTTCAAACGTATGCATCCCCACTTCCCACTAATATTGGCACCATTTAAAAGCCTAGTTTTAAACTTCATGTCATTAAAGGAAAGGTTTTTATCCCAAAAATGTGTCTGTAGAAGAATCCAGAGTCACTTCTAAAAAATAGGTAGTTACGCTTGAGCCAACTTTTATGGCTATTTAAGTTGGGATTTATTGCTATCCATCTGTTAAAGAGGACACGTGAGATCATTATTTGGTCTTATAACCATAAAAATTGGTCTAATTGATCCCAGAGAGGTGAGCCCAAAGTGAGGTCTTTTTTCAAGTCACATTTATTGTATATCGCGTTTATGTTAATCGTTTATTAAGAAATTAAATGTGTTTTTCTTTAAGGATATTTGTTGGGCTTTCAAATAACACCAATATTGTTGGGGTACCATGATTGTGTCAGTAAAAACGAGTTTTCCTGTAAAACGCAGGTGGGCCGATTGTTGTGATGACCAGTATAATTAAAATATTACTTCTTCTCAGCACTGGCCCATTTATTGTCCCGAAGCAGTGGTAGGGTTAATACTGGGACATGTAAAAGTGCACTTTAAAAGCCTACTTGCAGAAATAAATGAGTTTTATGAGATTTTATTTCTTTTAAAACCCAGAGCGCAACGAAAGCAGCAAGCGCGTCTCGTTCTCATACCGGCTGGGAATCTCCACGACAACATCCAAAGCGTGAAGAACTATCTCAACGCCGTGCTAGGCTTCTTCATCCTCGAGGAATATCTCTTAAGCGCTGGTGCGGGACTGGTGTCCAAGGACTGGTTGCTCGACACCTGGGGAATGGCGGTCTCGAAGGTATTATTACTTTTCTATTTAAGTACAGTCACAGAATAATAATAAGTACTACGTACAGAAGTTTTACTTCGCAAAGGTATTTAAAAAAAAATATGCTCAATGTAACTAACAATATGGTGTAATTTAGCCTGTCTCAAGAGTCAAGCACCATTTTGTTGACAAACGTCAGTGATCGGCACTGCGCCGAAGCTATAGGGCTGACTTCGGTAAAATGATGTGACGTGAGGTGCCAAACTGCGGAAAATGGCGGAGGAAATACATGATTCAGCATGAATTATCATGAATAATATTAACTACTTATTTACCTCTCAGTGTCTTGAGACAACTTAAAAAAGTACATTTTGTGTTTTTATTATTTATTTAGGCAGTTAAATACTGCACAGTATTTAGTACGCCATTTTTTTTATTTTCTTCCATCATACACAAGAATACGCGTGCGTGAGTCAATGTTCGCTCGTATGTGAGGCCTTGTCGAATAGTATCCTGTAGGTGGGCCATCGTGCGTGTTTTGTTTTCGATGTAAACTCGCGGAGATGAACAGGCCTGGTATAGTTCGCAAGGCCTATCTGATGTTTGCATTTGTGTGCGTGCACATCGTTCGTTTCAGCCAAATGACGTCCACTCCTGGACAAAGCCTTCCCCAAGGATTTCCATAACGACTGGTCCTGCGCTGCCCGCATCCCGGCTCTTCCCGCGACCTTCACCAGTTCGTCGGTCCACCTAGTGGAAGGCTACGTCTTCCGGCCTGCGGTCGTCGTCGGTCTGAGAATTTTTCTGTCCCAACTGTCGGTCTCTTTGGTTCTCTTGCGTACCTAAGTGCGTGCGAATAGTGTAGATGTGACAGTTTATATTTTGCGATTTTTGAAAAAGTTTTTTGTTTGACTCTACTTTTGATGATCAATAAAGATATTAATTTTAATTTTCATTTTCAAGGTGGCTGCTACCCTGCGGACTAACACTTCGCTGATCACTGACCCCACGCTGATGCTGAGTATCAAGCACCAGATTGTGCTGTTCATCAATACCTTGAAGTAAGTGGTCATTTAGTCAAGTTATTGTTAGATAGTATTGTCATTTAGTGGAGTTTTTGTTAGAGAAGTATACCATTGAAACAGTTTCAAACTGTGTTACCTAACGTACATCGATATAGCAAGCCGGATTAGCATGCTGAAATGGTAGTGGGCTCATCTGTTGAATAATCAACAACCGCGCTTGGGGTTACGAGCAAAGTAACTTGTGGCTTGGGAAGTGTACTCGGTTCAGCTAGGTGGAGTGAAAGATTACTGACGGAAGACGAAAAAGCCAAGGAAAGGAAGAAAGGGTCATATCACAGAGCATGGAATCGATTCCATGCTCTGTGGGTCATAATTTAGGCCTCTGTACTGCAGCAGCGATTAAAAGATCTGATGATTATTATTAATAATAATAATAATAATTTTGCGCTTAAAACGGCCTCTACGTGTTGGATATGTATCCCCACGCAAGCCTTATAAAGGACCGGGCCACTTTTGACCCGTGAGCTCCAAAGCGTACAAATATAATAATAATAATAAAAATTCTTTATTGACATAAAGTGTTACACTAAAACATACAACACAGTCATTAATGTAGATTACGACAATCCAGATAGGTACACAAACAGTATGTTGAGTGAATGAATCCTGGCACCCAAGCTAAGATTTAACTTGTTATTATTATTTAAAGTCTATTTCTGAATTTCCTTGTCCCATATCTGTTGAATGTCTGTTGTTGAATCAAACAATTATTAAAAATAAAGTGGAACATAGAACCACTTCTTTATTTCTTGTCAAAAAAAACGTGTTTTGTATTTGTTCAGATGCTACGGCCTCCCAACCGACCAGCTGCCGCTGCTTCTGCAAGAGATGGCGGAACACTACACAGAAGTGTTGATGCAGCGATGGGTGGTCGTCTTCAGGGACATACTCGACAACGCGGCGTTTACGCCTATTGAGGTAATTTATATTTTAATAACACTTTCCGAGGCTATGTGTTTCTGGAAACCAGTGGTCGTGGTCGTCACACCTGGTTTGGAGATTCGTGGAGTGGACCATTGAGTGCGGTTTTGACCTGTCGCACTCTCTTGTGCCTAGCTTTCTCCTGCACGTTCAATAGATATGACTTTACGTGTGATATGGGCAAAGAAAGCGAGAATACGTCTGTGGACGATCCAATCGAATTAGACCTCCAATTAAAAGACACTGGGTCATATAAAGCTAATATCTTAATATCAACTATTAAGCCTATAAATCGATGGGTGCCGGGAATAAAGCCACAATCGACAAAACACAATTTTACAGGAGAAGAAATTTAGTGACAATCTACATATTTTGAATAATTCTAAACTACGAGGCGTATCAAAACGGTTTGTATATCAAACGATGCGTTATTTTTTCTGAAGTAACATTTAATGTGCTTAAGGTTATAGTGCTTAGAATATACTTTAAAAAAGGTAGAAATACATATTGCCGCTTCATACATTGAAAGCCGGTTCCGTAAGAGTCCATTGTGGTTTTATTCCGGTAAAAAGTGTGCAATTAATCAAACAGCAATAGTGTATTGCAGCCTCAGGCGCTGATCTGAAGGATACAGTAATAGCCGTTTGCTTGTAGAATATTTAAATAAAAGTTTTAACATTGTATTTGGCACGATTATTCCGGTCAACAAATTTTAAATGATGAATGGGAATAACGATTCAATATCCATAGTGCTTTTGGTAAATCAGGCAGTTTCAAAGATAAAATTCTGAAAAAAATTCAAAAGGTGTATAGGGACCCGCAGTTTACTAAAATCACTTAATCGGAAAACTGCTGCTATGGCTATTGCGGCTTTATTCCAGGCACCCATCGAAATGTTCTAAAAGTTCTTTTGGTTTGCAGGTTGAAACTCAGGAACAATATGACGGTGTTATGGACACTTTCCCATACGAGGGCGAGGAGCTAGAGACGCAACCTTTCCCGAGAAAGTAAGTTAATTTCCATAACGTTACAAAAGCACGCAAAAAACTTCTCTAACTAGCGATGAACTCCATTCCAAATAAAGGCGGTAACAGCAAAAATATTGAAGAAATGCTTAACTTAAAGCTTAGATCGTCGTAAAAAAGAATGGCGTCTCCAACTTGAGTCAAGCAAACAAATTATAGTTTAGGAAAGTTTTTATTGCATTACTCAGTCTTTCTTACTATGTCATCAAAGATTTAACCTTTCTGGGGACATAAGTGTGGGTTTACGTCAAACGCATTCGATATCGACTGCATAAAAAGGTGTCATTAAATGTAATATCTATTATTTACACATACTTTTACATATCTTCAATATATTTTTATTTCTACAGGTTCCCATTCTCATCCATAGTGCCTGCAGTATACGTGCAAGTGAAAGAGTTTATATACGCCTGGCTGAAGTACTCGGCAGGGCTTGGTCTGGGCGGAAGTCGGAGAGCGGCCGCTGCGAGGCATTCTGCATCACTACTCCTTAGTAGATCCTTCACTGGGTGCCTGTCAGCGCTGTTTAGAAGACCACTGCCTTTGATGCAGCTGGTGCAAGTGAGTTTAGACTCTATTTAATTGTAACAAAAACGATTTTAGATTGAACGCTCCTGCATACAAGAGCGAAGCATTTTGCGTCACTACTGTTCAGTAGATCCTTCACTGGATGCTTGTCAGCGCTGTTTAGAAGACCACTGCCTTTGATGCAGCTGGTGCAAGTGAGTTTAGGCCCTATTCCAATACAATAAAGTCGAAATTCGGTTTAGTCTAGGCGCTAGTCAAAGAGCGGCCGCTGCGAGGCATTCCGCGTCACTACTGCTAAGCAGATCCTTCACTGGCTGCCTGTCAGCGCTGTTTAGAAGACCACTGCCTTTGATGCAGCTTGTGCAAGTGAGTTTAGACTCTATTCCATTGTAGTAAGATACATTTTCGGTTGATACCAAGCGGGTAGTGAAGAGAGGCATTCTGCATCACTACTCCTTAGTAGATCCTTCACTGGCTGCCTGTCAGTGCTGTTTAGAAGACCACTGCCTTTGATGCAACTGGTGCAGGTGAGTTTAGACTCTATTCCATTACAGTAAGATAGATTTTCGGTTGATACAAAGCGGTTAGAGAAGAGAGGCATTCTGCGTCACTATTCCTCAGTAGATCCTGGCTGCCTGTCAGCGCTGTTTAGAAGACCACTACCTTTGATGCAGCTGGTGCATGTGAGTTTAGACTCTATTCCATTACAGTAAGATAGATTTTCGGTTGATACCAAGCGGGTAGAGAAGAGAGGCATTCTGCGTCACTACTCCTCAGTAGATCCTGGGTGCCGGTCAGCGCTGTTTAGAAGACCACTGCCTTTGATGCAGCTGGTGCAAGTGAGTTTAGACCCTATTACAATGTAACAAAGTCGATATTTGATTGGAGACTGGGCGGGAGTCAAAAAGTGTTCGTTGCGAGGCATTCCGCGTCACTACTGCTCAGTAGATTCTTCACTGGGTGCCTGTCAGCGCTGTTTAGAAGACCACTGCCTTTGACGCAACTGGTGCAAGTGAGTTTAGACTCTATTCTAATAAAACAAAGTCGATTTTGGTTTGAATCCAAGCGGGCAGCGAAGAGCGACATTTTGCGTCACTCCTAAGCAGATCCTTCACTGGATGCCTCTCAGCGCTGTTTAGAAGACCCCTGCCTCTGATGCAACTGAGTTTAGACCCTATTCTAATGTAACGAAGTCTATATTCGCTTACGTATTAAGGCATCGAGTGGAAACTGCATTCCGCGTGGTGTACAGATTAATTTGAACTTGATGCAAGTTACCTTTCTATTTCAATGTGTCAAAGTCGAAATTCGACATTCTTGTAATTAAAATTACTTCAACTAAGGTACTAATTTAGTATTCTTTTGTTTCAGATAATAGTGGACACGAAGTACCTCGAAGATGCGACACTATGCCTGTACGAATTCATCAGCAATATCACAGGCTCTGAGCTAGTTACGACACAAGTAAGTTACGTTTCTAGTGCTTACAAATGTTCCAAGGGGCTTACAAAGGGATTTCTTTGTTGTTGTATGTGACTATTAGTCTGTTCGCTGAATTTGCCGATTTTTTGTTCGCCGATTTTGATTTGGTATTAGAAATAAGTAAGTGTGAGATCCTACTTCAAATCTAAGCTAGGTGCCGCGTTGCGTCTCGCAAATGTGGTCCGACCCTTAATCTCGTTTGGATGGAAGAACGAGAGATACAATCTGTCCTTAATACTATTCTTTATACAATGAGAAGTTTATTTAAAATGGTTTTTGCAGGAAAAGGCTTAACTCTAGTACGTTTCACATTGCATGTAATAATTATAACTTTATTCATACAGACTGCTGGCAGTATGTTCCAAGCGGCGCGTGACGATGCCGAGCAACAAATCTGCGACAAACTCGAGAAAAAAGTCGACGAGTTTCTTGACCTGGAGAACTACGATTGGCTGTTAGGTAGGTACACTTCGTTCGTTTCAGCCGAAAGACGTCCACTGCTGGACAAAGGCCTCCCCCAAGGTGTTCCAAGGTCCTGCGCCGCGCGCCACCCGCATCCAGGCACCTCCCGCGACCTTCACCAGATCGTCGGTCCACCTAGTGGGAAGCCTGCCCACACTACGTCTTCAGGCTCGTGGTCGCCACTCGAGAACTTTTCTGCCCCAGCGGCCATCAGCTCTACAAGCTATGTGCCCCGCCCATTGCCACTTGATTTTAGCGATTTTGCAGGCTATGTCAGTCACTCTGGTTCTCCTACGGATCTCCTCATTTCTGATTCGATCATGCAGGGAAACTCCGAGCATAGCACGCTCCATCGCCCTTTGGGTGTCCTTGATCCCACTAGTCAGCACATAAGGGACTCCCTACACTAGCATTGGCGCCGCGTTATTTAGTTTAGGGCTGATTTTTCAATCGTCGGATAACTTTTAACTGAAGAATAAGTTTGGCACATTGACAGATTCCGTATGGGAAATATGTCAAATGACAAGTTTATTCTTCAGTTAAAAGATATCTGACGATTGAAAAATCAGCCCTTAAACTATTAAAGACAGTTGATGTGCCGTGTCTACGTGCCTGCGCAACGCTGAGATGACGATGTTCGCAAGACGCTAGTGTGGGGAAGGCCTAAGAATTATGTAAAACACACATTTTAAGGCCCGGTTCCCACCAAGCGGAGCGGAGAAATGTTTTGAATAACCTATCAGATTTCATTTAAATTGAACGAAATTCACAGAATAAAATCCGATCGCTCCACCATGGTGGAATCCGGACATGATATTGCCATTTTGAACTTCAAAATCCTTCTTGTCAACAGTTGAGCCGACTGGACAAGCGTCGGCATTCGTGACTGACATGCTAAGCTATTTGTCTGGAGTACTTACGTCTTTGGAGCAGCTACCAGAAAGGGCCAGGTAAGGTTAATTGTTCTATTTATTGCTATGTTAGAGGCAAAACTGATTATATAATCGTTATAATGGTTTATTACCACTAGACTTTCGCATTTTTAATATTAGTACTAGATCCTACTAATACTAATATTAAAAATGCGAAAGTTTGGATGTCTGGATGTTTGTTACTCTTTCACGCAAAAACTACTAAATGGATTTTGATGAAACTTTACAGTATATTGTTTACACCCCAGAATAACATATGTATAGGCTATAATTTATGATGATCTGTGACAAACTAAATTTCACGCGGGTGAAGCCGCGGGCAAAAGCTAGTAGTAGTAGTAGTAGTAGTCGAATGGTATAATAAGTGAACACTTAAAAAATCAAAGATAGTCAGTTTTGCGTCTAAACCTGTGATGTCATATTTATAGCATTGAAATGATAATGACGAGGGATTCCTGCTTTTAATCTAAACTTTAAAACATTTTGACATCAATTTAATTTCATAAGTCGTACTTACAAAATATACGCATGCTTGTGCAAAACATGTGTTCCAAATTCATATTAAGTAACGCTAAAATTGTGCTGCTTGTTACAATTTCATTGTTACACCGATTAGGCTATCGCCGTCCAACATCACAAAGTGACACGTTACACAATTTTGTTAGCACGAAATTAGATAAACAGTATTCAATAAAACACATTGCGACGGATTTAGACGCGTGGGTGTGCCAGACACCCGTCAAGCGTGATGTATTGATATTTGGTTTTAATTCAGCCGTTTTATTTTGTTTTATAAGGGTACTAGCTGTGCCCGCGACTTTGTACGCGTAAAAACCCGTTTTCGCAACATTTTTCATTGTTGCTCTGCACCTATTACTCGTAGCGTGATGGTCTATAGCCTATAGCCTTCTTCGATAAATGGGCTATCTAATACTAAAATATTTTTTCAAATCGGACTGGTAGTTTCTGAGATTAACGCGCGTCGCGTTCAAGTAAACAAACAAACTCTTCAGCTTTATAATATTAGTATAGATTAGTATAGATGTGATTGACAGGTAGCTTAATGTAATTATTGCATATTAATATTGTTGCTTAAACGCGTAATACAGTTCAGGTTTTGTTAAGTAGGAGTGTGAGTGGTTAAGTGACAGTGTGGAGTAATAATTAATACATACTAGTAATTGAAAGAAAGCTCAGTTGCCTATAGAAGTATGGTTATCAATCTGACGTGCAATTGTGTAAAGCAATCTTATTCATTTGACAGTTCAAAACGTACGCTATATTCTGTCAAACGCCTTGTTAAACAGATTTTATCGTACGTTATGAACTGTCAAATGAATACGATTGTTTTACACAATTGCACCTCAGATCTTTGTTAGGTCAAATAGCTGTAAGAACTACAACTCTAGCGCATAACCGAGTCAGTGTATGAGGTATGGAAGCGGTACGAGACTACGAGAGAGGTCATGTCACCAAAGCATATAAGTCTGAAGCTCATCTGAAGTTTCGCTGATGTTTGACGTTAACTTCTTTGAAGCCAAAAACACCTCGTGAAGCTGATGTGCTAGGACTGTAAGAACCAATGACACTCAAAGGGATCATTCAGACAAGAAGGGCTTTGGGCTTTTTACACTTTGCTCTAGGCCCAAATCAGTGTTCATAACATAGTGATGTTCAAAGACAAATAAGAGCTATAAAAAGAAAAGAAGATAAAGAAGAATTATAGATCTTGAATTTGTCACACAGGGTGGCAGCAGTAAGAGCGGCGACGAATCGCATCGCGACGCGTCTCCGCAACTTGCTCCTGGAGCCGGGCGTGCGGCAGGTCTCGTCGGGCGCGCTGCACCAGCTGGACCTGGACGTCATCCAGTGCGAGCAGTTCGCGGCCGGCGAGCCCGTGCCCGGCCTGCGCGACCAGGAGCTGCTGGAGCACTTCGCCAGCCTGCGGTGAGCTGGAGTGTTTAGGGAGAGTGTTAGAGATGGTCTTTTAGGTATCCAGGTCTATGAAGCGAGTTATTGTTGCTGCACTGCTGATCAATTGACTGAAGTGTCTGAGAGCGAACTGCTGGAACACTTCGCAGTGAACTGCTGGAGTGTTTAGGGCTTCTGAGACTGTCATTTAAGAATCCAGGTCTATGACACGCGTCGATGCCCCACTGCTGTTCAATTAACTGAAGTGTCTAAGAGCGAACTGCTGGAACGTTCCGCTAGCTTACAGTGAGAGGAGGAATTCTTTAGGTCTTTAAAGAAGTTGTCTTTTAGAAGTCAGGTTTTTGTCTCATTAACAGTTGACACGCTTCAATGGTCTGGTATAAAAAGAAGACTATTGCTGGAGCTAGGCAATCAAGATTTGGTCGAAGCCATCTAGTGGTAAGTATGTCTCAGACTGCTGGAGTATTTCTAGCTAGATTAGGCCCCAGGGTGGCAGTATTACGTCTGGCTCAGTACAGTAAGTAAGAGCGGCGACGAACCGCATCGCGACGCGTCTCCGCAAGCTGCTCCTGGAGCCGGGCGTGCGGCAGGTCTCGTCGGGCGCGCTGCACCAGCTGGACCTGGACGTCATCCAGTGCGAGCAGTTCGCGGCCGGCGAGCCCGTGCCCGGCCTGCGCGACCAGGAGCTGCTGGAGCACTTCGCCAGCTTACGGTGAGCTGGAGTGTTTAGAGAGAGTGTTAGAGATGGTCTTTTAGGTATCCAGGTCTAAGACACGCGTTCTGCTGCACTGCTGGTCAATTGACTGAAGTGTATGAGAGCGAACTGCTGGAACACTTCGCAGTTAACTGCTGGAGTGTTTAGGGCTTCTGAGACTGTCATTTAAGAATCCAGGTCTATGACACGCGTCGTTGCCCCACTGCTGTTCAATTAACTGAAGTGTCGAAGAGCGAACTGCTGGAACGTTCCGCTAGCTTACAGTGAGAGGAGGAATTCTTTAGGTGTTTAAAGAAGTTGTCTTTTAGAAGTCTAGGTTAGTCTCATGAACTGCTGGTACACTTCACTGGTCAGGTACGAGTAGAAGACACTTTTGCTGGAGCTAGGCAATCAAGATTTGGTCGAAGTCATCCAATGGTAAGTTTGTGTCAGACTGCTGGAGTATTTCTAGCTAGACTAGGTCCCAGGGTGGCAGTATAGTGTCTGGCTCAGTACCGCATCGCGCCGCGACTCCGCAAGCTGCTACTGGAGCCGGGCGTGCGGCAGGTCTCGTCGGGCGCGCTGCACCAGCTGGACCTGGACGTCATCCAGTGCGAGCAGTTCGCGGCCGGCGAGCCCGTGCCCGGCCTGCGCGACCAGGAGCTGCTGGAGCACTTCGCCAGCTTGCGGTGAGCTGGAGTGTTTACAGAGTCATTTAGGATACAGGTCTATGAAGCGAGTTGTTGCTGCACTGCTGATCAATTTACAGAAGTGTCTAAGGATGAGCTGCTGGAGCACTGTGCTAGCTTGCGGTGAGCTGGGGGTGTTTAGGGCGTTTGTGAATGTCATTTAGGATTCCCGGTCTACGACACGCGCTGTTGCTACACTGCAAGTGTGTTAGGGCGAGCTGCTGGAGCACTTCACTAGCTTGCGGTGGGCTGGGACTGTTTAGGGCTTTAGAGATGATCATTTAGGAATCCAGTTCTACGACACGCGTTGCTGCTGTTCTGCTGATCAATTTACAGAAGTGACTAAGGATAAGCTGCTGGAGCACTTCGCTAGCTTACGGCGAGATTATTTAGGTCCTTAAAGAAGCTGTCTTTAAGATGTCTAGGTCTGTGTCTCATGAACTGCTGGTAAACTGAATCTGCCATCAATAAAACACACTATTGCTGCAGCTTGGGAAGCTAAATTGGTCAGATTTCTTCAATCAAGTGTCTTTTAGAAGACTGGGTTTGTGTCACATGAACTGTTGGTACACTTCAATGGTCTGGTACGAGTAGAAGACACTATTGCTGGAGCTAGGCAATGAAGATTTGGTCGAAGTCATGTAATGGTAAGTTTGTCTTAGACTGCTGGAGTATTTCTAGCTAGACTAGGCCCCAGGGTGGCAGCATTGCTTCTGGCTCATTACCGCATCGCGCCGCGACTCCGCAACCTGCTCCTGGAGCCGGGCGTGCGGCAGGTCTCGTCGGGCGCGCTGCACCAGCTGGACCTGGACGTCATCCAGTGCGAGCAGTTCGCGGCCGGCGAGCCCGTGCCCGGCCTGCGCGACCAGGAGCTGCTGGAGCACTTCGCGAGCTTGCGGTGAGCTGGAGTGTTTAGGGAGAGTGTTAGAGATAGCCATTTAGGAATCCAGGTGACAAACGTTGCTGCTACACTGCAAGTATCTGAGGGAGAGCTGCTGGAGCACTTCGCGAGATTGCGGTGAGCTGGGGAGTCTTTAGGGCTTCAGGGAATGTCAGTTAAGAATCCGCTATACGACACACGCTGTTGCTACATTTAAAGTGTCTGAGGAAGAGCTGCTGGAGCATTTCACTAGCTTACGGTGGGCTGGGACTTTTTAAGGCTTCAGAGACTGTCTTTTAGGAATCCAGGTCTGTAGCTACACTGCAAGTATCTTAGAGCGAACGCTGGAATACTACGCCAGCTTACGGTGAGAGGTGGGATTCTTTAGGTCTTTAAAGAAGTGTCTTTTAGAAGACTGGGTTTGTGTCACATTAACTGTTGGTACACTTCAATGGTCTGGTACGAGTAGAAGACACTATTGCTGGAGCTTCGCAACGCAAGACAGATATGGAAGTAATCAAGTGATTAAAGTACGGAAAAGAATCTGCTGGATTATTTCTAGCTAGACTAGACCCCAGGGTGGCAGTATAGTGTCTGGCTTAGTACCGCATCGCGACGCGTCTCCGCAACCTGGTCCTGGAGCCGGGCGTGCGGCAGGTCTCGTCGGGCGCGCTGCACCAGCTGGACCTGGACGTCATCCAGTGCGAGCAGTTCGCGGCCGGCGAGCCCGTGCCCGGCCTGCGCGACCAGGAGCTGCTGGAGCACTTCGCCAGCTTGCGGTGAGTAGGGGAGTCTTTACGGCTTCAGGGACTGTCAGTTTAGAATCCAGGTCTACGACATGAGCTGATGGAACACTGTAAGTGTCTTAGAGCGAACGCTGGAACACTACGCCAGCTTACTGCTTAGCTGCAAGTATGACACGCGTTGCTGCTATACTGCAAGTGTCTGAGAGAGAGTTGCTGGAGCACTTCGCTAGCTTGCGGTGAGTGGGGGAGTCTTTAGGGCTTCAGAGACTGTCATTTAGGTCATTTAGGAAACCAGTTCAAGACACACGCGTTGCTGCTGCACTGCTGATCAATTGACTAAAGTGTCTGAGAGCAAACGGCTTCAGAGATAGTCATTTAGGTATCCAGGTCTATAACACGCGTTGTTTCTACACTGCCAGTGTCTCAGGGCCTACTGCTGGAACGCTCCGCTAGCATACGGTGAGAGGTGGGATTCTTTAGGTCTTTAAAGAAGCTGGCTTTCAGAGACTGTAACTTGCTGCTGCATTGCTGATCAATCTACTTAAGTATCTGAGGATGAGCTGCAGCATATCGCTAGCTTGCGTTGCGGTGAGCTGTGCAGTTGTTAGATCCAATGGTCCTGGTCTATAACACGTGTGGCTGTTGCCCTGATGATCGATTGACTGAAGTTTCCTCAGGATAAGCTCCTGGAGCACTTCGCTCGCTTGAGAGTGAGATGTGGTTTTTAGATTGTCTTAGAGGTCCAAAGCTTTACTGGTCTGGCGTGAGTAGAAGGCACTATTGCTGTTGCTAGGCAATCAAGATTTGGTCGAAATCATCCAGTGGTAAGTATGTCTGAGACTGCTGGAGTATTTCTAGCTAGACTAAGTCCCAGGGTGGCAGTATTACGTCTGGCTCAGTGCCGCATCGCGCCGCGTCTCCGCAAGCTGCTCCTGGAGCCGGGCGTGCGGCAGGTCTCGTCGGGCGCGCTGCACCAGCTGGACCTGGACGTCATCCAGTGCGAGCAGTTCGCGGCCGGCGAGCCCGTGCCCGGCCTGCGCGACCAGGAGCTGCTGGAGCACTTCGCCAGCTTGCGGTGAGTGGGGGAGTCTTTAGGGCTTTTGTGAATGTCACTTAGGGATCCAGATTTATGTTACGTGTTGCTGCTATACTGCAAGTGTCTGAGGGCCAACTGCTGGAACACTACGCTAGCTTGCAGTGAGCTGACACTGTTTATAGAGAGTAGGTATCCAGGTCTATGAAGCGAGTTGTTGCTGCACTGCTGATCAATTGACTAAAGTGTCTAAGAGCAAACGGCTTCAGAGATAGTCATTTAGGTATCCAGGTCTATGACACGCGTTGTGGTTACACTGCAAGTGTCTGAGGGAGAGCTGCTGGAGCACTTTGCTAGCTTGCGGTGAGCTGGGGGTGTTTAGGGCTTTTGTGAATGTCATTTAGGAATCCAGGTCTACGAAACGTGATCTGCTGCAATGCCGATCAACTTTACTAGTCTGTTTTACAGAATAAGATACTATTGCTGGAGCTTAGAAAAAGCGGGACTATTCCCAGCTCTTGTTCCCACTGCTGCAACTCCTTGTGTAGCCAGAATCTACAGCTTGATCGCTAATAAAACTCAACTAACTAGGGAAGGTCAAGTTTGACACACGTTAGCCATATGAGTGATGTACAACAATTGCATTTACAAATTGCTGCCACCCTATCGTAACTGGAACTGACTAACCTGAATCTGTTCTATAAACTGTTGCCATTATCTAATCTGTAGCAGAACCTCAGCCATTAAGAAACTATACCTACAATATATGGAAAAACAGTATGATGTAACGAATCCTGATGCATCGCCTCCTGTAAATTCGCTGCGGCGCAAAAACCATTTCTAAATGAAAATATTATCTTCCAGGCAACTCCTAGACCTAGTGAACGGTTGGGATTGGTCTTCCTACCTCCACGATGTTGGCATCGATGGAGGCAAGTACCACCTCGTCACGCCGCGCGACGCGGCCACTCTACTGGAGAAACTGAAGGAGGCCGAACAGAAGTCTTCCGTCTTCACCGTACTGAAGAAAAACGAAAGGGACAGACGGAAGTTGCTCGACACCGTGTTGAAACAATTGAAGCAGTTGCAGAATCAAGATGGATCGTGAAGTTAGTGATGTTTGTTTGTTTTATCCGAATATAACTGAAACTTTCGCATAAATCGGACTAGAAAGAAGCACTAGTAACGAATGTGCAATCAAGCATAAAATCCTAATATCACGTTTACTCCTGCATTGTGAAGAAATAGAAGCTATCACTCAATTGTTATCCAAGAATTTTAATTTTGAAACTTAATTTAAAGTCCGTAAGAAAGAAAGTTATTTGAGCCAATCGATTGGTAAAATGTTGCAGTAAAACTAAACACATTTTGTAGTGTAAAATAAGACAAAACTTGTTATTTATTATCACGGTGCTTTCTTAACTGTACTCGTTTAAGAATGTTTGTATATTGGCTTTGTTATAGTTAGGTGTAAGGTTTTTAATTTAATCTTTGAAATTCAATTTAGTCAATAATCAAGAAAGTTAATATTAATTTATCAAATATTAAGTGTAGCAGTTGATAAAGTGCCTATGCTCTATTTTTTTAATTAACTGATTGAAGTCTACAATTTAAGTACTTGCAAGGCTACTTAAAAAAACATGTTATAAATAAAAATCGTTTAAGTATTTATTTACGCACTGTTTATAAGAAAAAAAAACCCAAAATACTGAATTTTTTATTGGTGTTTGGATTTAAAACTAAAAAGTATTCACAATTAACCACCAATGAGTTTTTATTGTAGTGATAGAATGCATTTACATTATTTAAAACAAACAATTCGTTGTACATCAATAAATTATTTATTTTACCTAATAACGTTTCGTTTTAATGGTTCCCGTTCTATCAATAGTGTATCTACAATATGATTCCAAAAATACTAGGATAATAAATTGTCCTTTTGCAAAATTGAGCGATATCGATTCGAAAAATACAGCATGGGCAATGGCAGGCCTGGCTCACTCCGCGCGGTACATCCGATAATTACCTACAGCGAAGCGCCCCGCCGGCGGGTATTATATCAGTCGAGTGTCACGCGCGCGCCCGTCAGGACGCTGGCGTGCGTTGTAGTATGATTATAATTCTATGATCGAAGTATTATTTAAAAATGGACATAAAGAGAAAGAAATATTGTGCGGCGTTCGGGTGTTAAAATTCGAAAAGAAATCTACCGGATTTATCTTTTTTTTTCGCTTCCCAAAGATGCTGAAAGGTATGTTGGCCATGTAGGTAATCAATAATTCTTAGGATAGTATAGGAACCTAACCTACCATGACTACTGCTCAGAATTCGTTCGTTCGTTTCAGCCAAATGACGTCCACTGCTGGACAAAGGCCTCTCCCAAGATTTTCCATAATGAACGCATACTTACCTACATACGTACCTCATTACAAATAAGTAGATTAATTATTTTTTCACTAGACAGCAACCCTAACAGCGTAAGAAGAGTTCAGAGGCACGCGATAGAAAGAGACAAAACTTGTAGGTGAATAAAATTGTAGGTACGTAGTGCTGTGCGAGCTGAATTCCACTGTATCGCGTCGTAGCAAGACTCGCATTTATTTAAATCGTCTTGCGGAGTAATCCTTCTGTACCTGTACTATTACTTATTCTGTGGCAATGGGCATGCTAATGATACAAATATTTCACCTGGGGGTGTTTTTGCAATGTTGTTCCGTACCAGACCGTATCTACGTGACTTGGAACATGTTACTAGAGAACGCGGTTTAAGAGTAAGCGCACGTAAGAAACTATCCCTTGATGTAACCACGACTTTGTCATTTATTGAGAAATTAGAGAAAGATGCCGGGAATTATGAAGAAGATTATGTCATCCAGTAAACAGATGATGATATTATTCAGAAGAAAAGCCTGAACCTGGTTTATTACTTTTATTTTTATTTGAACAAGCTTGTCACTAATTCTAAGTTAGGAATGTTAAGTGTAATGTAGAATCTATTGTTTACGTTTCGGTCGACTGTACATGTTGCAAAAAACAGATTTGCTGAACTTGATCTACAAAATAAGGAGCTACCCACACGAACGTACCAGATTACAACTACTGAAATGGAATAATCCAATTTAAGACAAGTCACTGTGTTTGGCTTCAAACCGTACAAGCAAAAAATGTTCTCTGACTGACATTGCTCATATGATGTAGTAGAACTGGTAATACAATATTTTATGAAACTACACTAGTTCTTGTCCGCGGTCTTGCATGCGTGGTGTCCCATTTACCCCCAGGTAAAGTTGAAATTTCCATCCTTTCGTTGCCGACGATTCTCTATAAACGTTGTTTTGTACCTACTCGACATTCGATTCCATAGTTTTTAGAATAGTCGCGGTGAAAAATACGCAGATTTTTTTTGAAAATGACCTATATTTTCTCAAAAATGCTGTGCATTTTTTACCGGAACTATTAAGTCGCTTTCGGATGGACAACAAGTACAAATAAAACAGACGCATTTTTTGACGTCATGTAGAATGAGGACATCCTTTTCATTCTTCCCTAACAGGCAACACGGAGAAATATGCGAACATCAGGATCTCCCCAACCCATCTGGCCAGCGTGGAGAGTGTAGGCCAGTGCTTCATTTCCCTCTAGAAAAATAGAGGGATGTAATGGAGACTAAATCTGATGATGATGGTAATAAAGATGTTGAATGAGAAATTAATTAAATGTAAACTTCTCGCGAACAAAGTCGCGTTAAACCGCTAGTAATAATAGCCAGTAGTCAGAAAGTGACCGCAATTAATCTCCCATGCCAATATATTTTTAAGCTCGCGAAAGTTCGTGACATTGCGCAAGCGGTATCTAGATCAACGCGTCAGATGTTATCTTATCGACGCGTGCGCAGCCAAGGTCGCGCGTTTGGTCACCTTCGGCGCGGGTCACATGTGTGTGAACTTTTTGGTTTGGGATTTATTGGCGATATTTGGTAAACTGACACATGTAGATTGTTTAGAGAAATAGATTAATTAATAAACAAGCCTATGCATTTGCATTGATTTGCATGCTTGCATTGCTTATGCATGAGCGGAGACTAGCTTGTTCTTAATGTTCTGTTGAACAAAGTCTGCCGCCATATCAACAATGTCAATAGCACAGTTGTGTTTCAACAGATGGACGGATGAAGCTGGCTTCCACTTTTGGTCTAATTATCACTAACTTATCTTCATTTCAGCAGTACAGATAAAAAGACATGATGGCACATAAAAGTACATTATGTATTTCGCATGGAAAAGGCCTCTACTTATCTACGGGGTGGTTCGAACCATACTCCAGTTCAGTGAGGATTATTGGGAGGCGTGTATAGATTAGTAAATAACCAGGATAAATAAGTATCACTTAGTACTTTTTGTAAGAGGTGCTTGCACTGACATTTAAAATTAAATCTCTAAATGGTATCAAGATATGCCTAATCGGTTGGTGGTCCTATCACGTTCTGCGATCGCCGAAAATTGAATTTTAGATGCATTTAATTAGATGTTTGCAAACTTGATGATTATCGTATGTGATGGATAGAGCTAGATGCCTACGATTGGACATTATTAATCAAATATTGAATGTGCGTATCATAAAATCGTTTTGGTCTGTTATTGAACGTTCAATTATATCAATGTGTAGGTTTAATCGTTTAATGTGGACCTTCATTGAAACTCGTTTTTCGGGAAATGGTTTCATGACTAAGTAAGTCATTAATTGGTCGTATTTAAGAATTAAAAATAGATTAATTGCAGCAGATTGGCGGCTGGCCATAATTTCACCGGCCAGTAGCGCAGGTCATGGCCTAACTTCGTTTAGAGCAACGTTCCAAAGAATCTTCTTTATGTGTCTAAAAGATTGAAGGACAGAGAAAACTAAGTTTCTTTATTATACCTTGTCAATTTTATTAGAAGAGAGAGAAAGGGGCTCTTTCAAATATGTATACGTATAAAAAGAGTTCGAATTAAAGTCGATTTTCGAACTTCTATATTCTTCAGATTAAAATTCGTTGCGGATTCCAAGCTGTAAGATAAGTCGATAAGTAAGAGTTGATAAGTCTGTAGGTGTACTTGTAGAGGTACATACGTAGATATGTATCTTTAAATAAGCATGTTGTTTATAGTCTCAATTTCTTTACCAAGGTCAAATGTCACGCGCAGGACTTTTTGCAACCCATTGTTACCGTTTTATTAATCGCCGCAACGACTTGTGTGACAGACAGTGATCTGCAAATCTGCGAGCATTCATGCGTCGATTTTGACAAATGGAGGCGTAGCGGCCGTCAGAACACGCCCTTGCGCCCGCGCCGATCGCGTGACCCGAAGTGCTTTAAAGTAGGTTTGTTTGTGGTTATGACTGTATTACTGAGACAGATCTGGTTGACAGATCTTAATAAGTACTTACATGGGTTAAGAACACTTCTGAATCTTTTTTAAAGAAATGCCGTCATATTTCGAGTCGTTACAGACTGCAAACTTTTTATCGGCCGTAAAAAAGTCTGCTTCTATTTGGATGAGGATTCGGCCGATACCAAGTCGGTGTAATGTGCGTCCTACTCTCATACTTGTTCTTTACTGATTAACAGCGAAATCTTCATCTTCATCATCATTTAAGCAACAGGACGTCCGCTGCGGAACATAGGCCTCCCCCAATGATTTCCATTTTACAGGCAGACGCTGGAAATCTTATTGATGTTTACCTAATGATTTTCTTAAATAAGTCAGAATCAATTCGAACTCTACTCCCAATAATTATTGGTAGTCACTCATAAAATGCATAAGGCCTTATGATTTACCTTCTCTTATTGCAAAACCTTCCTGCCTATTAGCTCCAAACTCCAGTAGCGGAAAACATGAGTCAGATAAGTACTAACTAAACTTTTGCGCTGACGTCATTGGTTTAAATGCATTAGTATGACCTATCCCGGACTCGAAATACTTTCAGCTTAGTCATGGTTTGTATTGTTCGTTTTAGATATTTTCTGGTTCAAATTTGTCAAGGTCCATCCGCCCACATCCGTCTTCGTCCAAGACTTGAAGTAGACACCGTGGGAACTCTATTTACTGTATTAATAATACAAAACGATTACGTACGTTACATATAGTAAGTATATTGGTACTTAGCACCGAACAATGTGTTATTGTAATCCGATTCTGTGAAATTTCGAAATAGGTAACGAATTGTCGTACTTATCTTAAATGAGATATTTTTAATTAAATAATCTACATACAATTAATCAGTTTCATCAATTTTCTAAGGTCTATTCCAATTTGAGCACCTGGATTGACCACCCAGGTGATCAAAGTGGTTAGTGAACTCCAGGCGACACTTTCGTGTCCTTTGATCACCCATGGATTATAATGTAACTCATTAATAAACGTCGCGTTAAGACCCGTGTCTTACTATTTTAATTCACCCATGGATTAGACGTCCACATTGATCATCTGGCTGATCTTACTCGTATCCATGGGTGATCAAAGGACACCAAAGTATCTCCGAGTCCACTTTGATCACCTGGGTGGTTAATCCAGGTGATCAAAGTGGAAATTGGAATATACCTTTTCTAAGCCCTTTGAAGCAATATCTGTAAGTTGGTCAAAAATTCAGCTCTACATAATTGTCTATTATAACGACTTTTTTTTGCATTGTAATATAAATATTTGGAACTACTCAGATTAGCGTTACCGATAGATGGACATAAAAGGCGAAAATGCTTAAATAACCTTAAAATATTTAATTAAACCTCAATAAAAAACATTCG